AGCATGACATGCTTTTCAGAATCATGCACGAATCTATGCTTTTCAGTAAGGTGGGCAGAAACAAGCAGAAACTATGTGGTTATCATCTTTAATATTGGCATTGTGTAAATGTGCATGAGATTGTGTGTAAAGTGGAAGGCCATCTCCTCTGTTCTGACAGTTAAGCAACAGCAGAATGTACAAATACAGAAAAAGTCACTCATCCACTATACATCTGAGATCAGATCAATGCACTTTATGAATATTTAACTAGTGGGTGTGTTTGAGAGCTGAATAATCTAACTTCAGGTGAAACAGGGTGGTCGCTCTGCTTTCCATAAGTATAAAACAGAGTCATGAAAATGATGAAGACCAGGAGCTAAACCGGCAAGCATCCTCACACAGAGTCTTCTCTACAACCGTTCTGTCTGAGGACTGACAAACATGGACAATCGATCACTCCAGTACTGCTTCCCGAACAACAATCTGTCTTGTACCAAAAGTATCCGACCTGAAGCCGAGTACATGGTGGTGTACATTTTTGTGGGCGTAACATCAGTGTTCACCGTGTTCCTGAACTTGTTGGTGATCATTTCCATCTCACACTTCAAGCAGCTCCACACTCCGACCAATGTGTTGATTCTGTCTCTGGCAGTGGCTGATCTGATCGCAGGACTGATTCTCATGCCAGTGCAGGGAATGAAACTGATCGAGCCCTGCTGGTACTTTGGAGAAATGTTCTGCTCCATATTTCCTCTTATCCTCTATGTGGTCGTGGTGGCATCTCTGGGTAACATGATCATCGTGTCAGTGGACCGGTTCATTGCAGTGAATGACCCTTTACGATATCCACTGAAGGTCAACAACAGCAGAGTGGTCATTTCTATAGTTGTGAACTGGGTATTCTCCTTTCTGTATTCCTTTTATTTATTATACGAGTTTTTACTTCATCCGGAAACCACACACACTTGTATTGGAGAATGTGTACTTGTTGTTACACTGGAAAATCTAATAATCGATGCTTTGGTTTGTTTAATGGCACCGTGCTGCATCATCATCCCCTTATATGTGAAGATCTGCTATGTTGCGAAAAGGCAAGCAAAGCATTTAAATTCAGTCACAGAAAAAAAGGCCAAGTCTGAAAAGAAAGCAGCCAGAACCCTGGGCATCGTAGTGCTTGTTTATCTTCTGTTCTGGACTCCCTACTACATCGTGACTCTTTCATTTGGACATGATGAAAACGATGCGCTGATAATTAATGTGATGTACTGGTTGTTATGCATGAACTCCTGCATGAATCCGCTCATCTATGCCATGTTTTATCAGTGGTTTCGAGTGTCTGCAAAATATATATTGACTCTGAAAATATTTGAGCCTTCATCCAAATACTTAAACCTGTTCCCAGAAGCACACATGTAAATACGATTCAGATAAGATAAACCGTGATGATCCCGATTCAGATAAACCGGTTGGGTTTATGTGTTTAGGGGTTAGTTCACCCACAAATAAAATGAGCTCATCATTGTGTGGTTTCAAACCTTTAAGAGTTCTGTTAAATGCAAAAGAAGATATTTTGAAGAATGCTGAAAACCTGTAACCATTGACTTCCTTAGTAGGACAAACAAATACTGAGGAATGGTTTTCAGCATTCTTCAAACTATCTTCTTTTGCATTCAACAGAAAAATCTCATAAAGGTTTGGAAAAGTAAATTATGATAAAATGTTGACTTTTGGGTGAATTATCCATTTAAGCACTTGTAAAATATTACATGACAGCAGTCTCTGTACATTTATCATATGCCTACTATGAACATTTACGTGTGAGTGACACAATATGTCCCTTATTACTCTCTTAATGCCTTACAATGACTAAAATCACAAGCTGGAAAATGATTAATAAGACCTATACAATGCATTTGACATCATAATTATTGTTAATGTGTCCAGTTTCCTAAGTACTGCCTGTTTTGTATGTATATATAGTCATTTAAGACAAAACCACAGAGAGATATAGGAAAATATTACCATTAAACACACAGAATTACAATACACATACAATAAACATACAATAAATGGCAAACACAACATGGAACATACAATATATGGCAAACATATAATGAGAATGGTAATGAAAAGGAAATAAGAGAAGTATTGTTCATGAATGTTGGCCTTTGTATGACTGTATGTTGAGGTAAAAGCCACACTCAAACACTCAGAGATAAAGAAATCAAGCAAATAATTTGAATGTTATCCGATTTCTATGCTTGTAATGTATTACATCTGTGTTAATCATGTTTTTTGTGATGAGTAAAGCATACATTTTTCATCAAAACTCTTTCATTTTGTCTAGAAAATGTGTTTGTGTGATGTGTTTGAATAAAGAAATACATGTTCAGTGTGAGTCTTTTCCTCTAGTCTGTGCTTTTAAATTAAAATTGTTTTTAAACTCAATACTTAAACAGTGAGAGTAAAAATAAAATTTGAAAAACTTTTATTTAAACAATACAATTTTTTTTAATAAAACTTAAATTATATTTATTTAATCTTTTTTATTGTGAAGGTGATGATATGTGGTAGTGAATATTGTCCTATATACACACTACCTGACAAAAGTCTTGTCACTTATCCAAGTGTTAGGAACAGCAGATAATAACTGGACTTTAGTTGCTGATCTGGTGTCAGAAGTGTCTCTATGAAAGGTGAAGGCCTCTAGATTTTGCTGATTTGAGCTCAATAAATCTGATCATGTCTTGATGTTGACTGATTTGATGAGGACAGTGCGGTCTGACTCTGCTCAGACTAAAGTGTCATCACTGAACAGAAATAATGTCCAGTATAGAATATAAAGTCCTGCTGCAGTGGAGACAGAATGAATATTGTGTCTGACTCCATCATGAGCTTGGAGGACTGCATCCATACATCTCTGACATGACTCACATCACTGATTAATAAAGTCATCTGGAATGAAGAAGAAAGCCTTCAGCAGAGCTCATCAAGAGTCTTTGTGTTCATCTTCAACACCTCCTCCTTCATCAGCTCAATAATGTTGATGTCTGGTGACTGGGCTGGCCAATCCTGGAGCACTCTCTGCTTTCAGGAGCTTTGATGTGGAGGCTGAAGTATGAGCAGGAGCGCTATCCTGCTGGAGAATTGTCCCTCTCCTGTGGTTTGTAATGTAATGGGCAGCACAGATGTCTTGATACCTCAGGCTGTTGATGTTGCAGATCTCTCCATACTGAATGAACCCCAAACCATGATTTCTCCTTCACCAAACTTGACTGATTTCTGTGAGAATCTTGGTCCATGCTGGTTCCAGTAGGTCTTCTGCAGTATTGGTGATGATTGATGCAGATCAGCAGATGATCCAGCAGAGGAATCCACCTCAGACACTTTCACACATCATCAACTAGAGTTCCAGTTACTATCTGCTGCTCTTACAACTGGGATCAGCGACAAGACTTCTGTCAGGTAGTTTATAAGATAAGATTAAAATGAAATGTTTTGAAATATTATTATAATCTTAATTATTATTAAATAATAACATACATAATAAAATTGCTTTGTTCAAATGCACCAAAATATATAGTTAATATTCACTGAGAAATGGATCAAAATATTCATTTTTAATAGGGGGTGTCCTCATTTATGCTGAGCACTGTGTGTGCAACAAGCAAAAAGGAACATCCTAAAGAAACATCTACATTAATAATTGTTCAAATCACTGTAAGACTCACCGCCAGATGCAAAACCTGCTTCTTCAAGCCTAGCTGCAGTACGCTACATGAGGCCAGCACTGTAAAAAACAAAATAAAAGTCATTTCAATGGTAAAAACTGTAAAAATGCTGCAGTAAATATGTGTAACCTGCTTAACAGTAAGTTTCCTTAATATATACAGTTAATAGCCGTAAACTCCTTTCCCAGAATTCCCTGCATGACACTTTTTATGCTTTCTTGTTTGGCAATTCGAGTTTTATTCATCCTCCTTCAGCTTAATCCCTTTATTTATCAGGGGTCGCCACAGTGGAATAAACCGCCAACTATTCCAGCATATGTTTTACACAGCGGATGCCCTTCCAGCCGCAACCCAGTACTGGAAAACACCATACACACTTATTCACACACTTTGGCCAATATAGTTGATCTGTTCCCCTATAGCGCATGTGTTTGGACTGTGGGGTAAACTGGAGCACCCGGAGGAAACCCACGCCAACACGGGGAGAACAGTTGCATGGTGCTCCTGATGTTCATGGCATTACTGTAGTGTTGTGTGTGTTACAGTGTTCAGCTGTTGTGTGAATGACACTGAGCAGCTTATACATTCTCTGCTTGTGGGAAAAGTTGTGTTATGTTTGTGTAATGAAGTCATGCAGTTCAGAAAATAACAACACATTTCTCAATTCATTATATACTTCATCAGCTAAATGGCAGACATAGAGCCATAAACAGCCTACAAACAGGCTAAATTGTGAACTTTTTCCTGTTGTTTTGAGGCTGTTCAGTTCAATCACAATATTCTCGTGATGCAAGGCAACGTGTGTGGCAACCAAGCTAACCTAAATAGCTGGCATTCCTGGATTAATGCCACATAAATAAACGCCAGCTGTGCCCACTTCAAGCCAACAAGTCTTTTCTAACCTGAGTGACTGTTGTTTCAGGCTGTTTCCTCTGAGGCTCACCAAGCAAAATACTTATTTGTTCAGCTGCAGACGTTTGTGGTCTAAAATATGAATGGACACTTTTAAATTAAGCAGTTCCAAGTGTTCATGTAGAAATAAATAAATAAGTAAATAAACATCGCGGCAGGCCTCACCCGAGTGTTACTGGAGCAGCATGAGCCGCGCTGAGAAAAGAAACAGGAGTCACGTGACAACTCGACTTCAATCTGAGCGTAATTTTTTATGAGATACTAATTTTAAAATACATCAAAAATGCAAACGAGCTTAACGTTTAAGAATGAGAAAGATCCGTCATTTAAAGCCAGATTTACAAAAGCGAGAATCCGCGTAGCCCCGCCCACTCTGCGTCCGTGACTCTGATTGTGTTTGTATGGATGGATGCTGCTACCGCTGGTGCAGATCATAACGGATCCGCCTCACAATAATCGCCGTGTAATATCTGCTCATCTTGAGCCGTCGCTTCGGTGCCGTGTGCCGGTGATGAGCCCCCGGTGAGCGGCTGTGTGTCCGGGATGATGTGTTTGCGGCGGGCGGCGGTGCTGTGCGTGCTGCTGGCGGCGCTGGTGCTCGGCGGCCGGAGGAGGAGCTCCCGCTGCCCCGCGCCCTGCACCTGCAGCAAGGATAACGCGTTATGCGCCAATACCGGAGCCATACCGAGGAGCTTCCCGCAGGACGTCATCTCACTGTGAGCTACAGTCACCAGCAATGATCATAATGATGGAGGTAATAGTGGAGATGATGTGTGATCAGTGCTGCTGTTCTGCTGTCGTTTCAGATCATTCGTCAAATCCGGCTTTACTGAGATCCCCAAAGAGAGTTTCATTCACACACCTGCACTACACCTGCTGTAAGAGCATGAGGATGAGGATGATGATGATGATGCATGCGTGCGTGCGTGGGTGTGTGAGTGAATGTGTGTGTGTGTGCTTAAAGGAGTGTGTGTGTGTCCTGTGTTAGTGTTACCTTGTCTTCTTTATGTTGAATTCTTTTATGTTATGTCCCCACAAGTGTAGCTATACCAGTCATTTTTGCCCATGTTATTTGGTCCCCATGAGGAAAACAGCTCATAGATCAGATTAAACTGCAGATTGTTGCATGTGAGTGTGTACAGTACAAACATCATTACAGACATGAGGAGAGACCATGAAGATGTATGTAGAAATACCAAGAAGAGGAAGCACATCCAGCAGGAGGAGCTGTGGAGGCCGGAGGAAGCTGAAAGGGCTGCTAACCCTGATTTACCCAGAACACATGAGAGCACAGCGGCCCGACTCACTGCAGAATGACATGTGCAGCTCCACTCTCCTGTGTCCTGCTGCTCTAGAGCTCCACTGGGTCAATATACATGATCCAAACCTCTGCTCACTTCTGCCCACACCGAACGCCGGCTTCAGTGGAGCGGCAGTGGAGATCTGGAGCTGTGGTGCATGTACTGTTCTCTGATGATCCAGCTTCACTGTCTTTCCACATCCAGGAGAGTTACGGTGTGGAGAAGCCCCACAGAAGCGGCCCACCCAGACTGCTGATGCCCAGAGTCAAGCATGGGGGGGTCACTGATGGTTTGGGCTCAATATCATGGTATTCCCTAGACCCAATAGTGGTGCTGGATGGGAGCTGGGTCACTGCCGAAGACTACCCAACCATTCTGGAGGAGCATGTGACCCAATGGGTAAAAACGTGTATCAGGATGATGATGCAGTGATACACACAGCAGGACTGGAGGCAGAGCGGTCTGATGAACATTACAGTGAAGCTGAACATCTCCCATGGCCTGCACAGTACCCAGACCTAAACATTATTGAGCACTTTGGGCTGTTTTGGAGGAGTGAGTGAGGAAAGGTTTTCCTCCAGCAGCATCAGTAGTGACCTGAACACTATTCTGAAGAAGAACAGCTCTGACCACTATGCAGGACTCCTGTCTGTCATCCCCAACACCAGCTGATGCTGCATTTAGGAGGAACTACACCAGACTGATCCACTACTGTGCTCTAACACTAGTTTGATTGACTGACCCCTTTATATATATATATAACTCTATAACTCTATAGTCTGTAACTCTATAATTCTCTCTGCTAGTCTCTTCACAGCAAACAGCTTCGACTCTATAAACGAGGATGCGTTCCTCGGTCTCCCTCATCTGGAGTATCTGTGAGTAACAGCAGTAAATCAGCTCATCATCTCAGACAAACTGCTGATCTTATTCGTCGCTTGTTTTTCCTTCTAGATTCATTGAAAACAACCAGATCAAGTCCATATCGCCGTTCGCCTTCAGAGGACTCAAGTCTTTAATTCACCTGTGAGTTTTCCTGGTGTCGCAATAATCAATACATCGACTGATCGATCAGCACATGACCTCAGTTAAGCTTATATTAGGACTTTTTCTTTAAGATCCAATTACAGAATGTAAGTAAATGACCTTAAAAATGAGATGTTTTTGTCTGTTGAAAGTGTTTATTGTTGTTTGCGTTATTAACAGACATGCTGTTGTATAATTCTGATATAATCATTAGCATATAAATGTATTAAAATCACAATAATATCCCTTTACACAATCATTTCTGGGACAATATATCACACAGTAAATATAGTGTCACAGATTTATAGTGTCAGGCCTACACTTGTTTCTGATTTCTGAAGTAAACCACTGTTCTGTTCTGCTCTGTTCTGCTCTGTTCTTTATGAATGTTCCTGCAGAAGTCTGGCGTACAATAATCTGGAGACGCTGCCCAAAGACCTCTTCAAGGGGATGGAAGCTTTGACTAAAGTGTACGTATGTTTTATTAGAGTGAGATTTAAGAGATCATATCAGGATATTTCAACTTTTTTACTTTCTCTTGCAACTCATCTCTAATCACTGATATATTTCCTCTTCATCATGATGACAGCACATAATATTAGACTAGATCTTCTTCAAGACACTAGTGTTCAGCTTAAAGTGACATGTAAAGGCTTCACTAGGGTAATTAGGGTAAAGTTAGGGTAATTAGGCAAGTCATTGTATAACAGTGGTTTGTTCTGGAGACAATCCAACACTAATATTGCTGAAGGGGTGAATAATATTGACCACAGCTGTTTTTACATGTTTTCATTCCAGGCAAACTAAGAGAAATAGGTCCCTTTCCAGTAGAAAAAAATATTATAGGAAATATTGTGAAAATGATTAATTAAAATTGTATTTCCTTTATACAAAGAACAATTTGTGCAACAATTATGTACAGTACATGTAAAAAAAAAATAGTTTTTTGTATCGTAAAGGCACAGTTCACCCAAAAATAAAAGTTGACTCCCTATTTACTCTCCATCAAGTGTGTCTAAATCTTTGAGTTTCTTCTGTTGAACACAAAAGAGGATATTTTTAAAAATGCTGAAAACTGGTACCCATTGACTTCCAAAGTATTAGTTTTCTATGGAAGTCAATGGTTACAGGTTTCTAACATTCATTCATTCATTTCCTTTTGGCTTAGTTCCTTTATTAATATGGGGTCACCACAGTGGAATGAACCACCAACTTATCCAGCATGTTTTACGCACCAGATGCCCTTCCAGTTGCAACCCATCTCTGGGAAACATCCACACACACTCATAAACCACAGATAATTTTAGCCTATCCAATTCACCTGTACTGCATGTGTTTGGACTGTGGGTGAAACCGGAGCACCCGGAGGAAACCCATGCGAACGCAGGGACAGGGAGAACATGCAAACTCCACACAGAATCTCCAAGGGGTGTCCAAACTCAGTCCTGGAGGGCCGGTGTCCTGCAATGTTTAGTTCCAACCTCAATCAGACACACTTGGGCTAGCTATTTAAGCTCTTTCTAGGCTTTCTAGAAACATCCTTGCAGGTGAGTTGAGGCAAGTTGGAGCTAAACTATGCAGGACACCGGCCCTTCAGGAACGAGATTAGACACTCCTGCTCTAAACCATACCAACACATTACATTACACCAAAAACACAACGTAATGTACTTTAAGCACCATCGTGTGCATGCTCTACAGACTGCTTCATCACTTTGTGTCTGATGTGTGTGTGTGTGTGTGTGTGTTCAGGGATCTGAGAGGGAATCTGTTCAGCTGTGACTGTAAGCTGAAGTGGTTGGTGGACTGGATGTTTCACACAAACGCTACAGTGGATCAGATCTTCTGCAACGGCCCTGAAGGGTACCAGGGGAAAAAAATCAACGATCTGGAGGCGCAGACCTTCGACTGCATCACCACAGGTTGGTATTGATCAACACACACATGAGCTTATGACAGTAGCAGATTTCCTTGTTGGGATGAATTTCTGAAGCGTTTATCATATTATCACCATATTTACTTTACAGGTGTAATATTAGCGTGATATTACTGGTGGCATTTTACAATGAGGTTTCGTTTGTTACTGTGTTTACTAACATGATTAATTATGAACAATACAGCATTTATTAACATGAGTTCAGCATTTACGAATGCATTATTAACATCCAAGTTCATGCTTGTTACCATCAACTAACAATCAACAGCTGTATCTTCATCACCAAACATGAACACATACTGCCATTGTTGTTATTGTAGTGTTACCATATTATACATTATTACATTAACAGCTATACTAACCAAAAATACTCCTAGTGCATTGCTTTATTGAATAATCAGGGTTGTTGCACCATTTTAAAAGTAAAATTTAATGATTTTTAAGACCTCAACAAATATAATTCAAGACCCCAAAATTGTATAATTTCTTTGGAATAAGCAACTCAATTTAGTGTTCACGTTAGATTTAAATAAATTGTGCCTCGTCACAGTATGGTAGTACCTGCTTTTTGGGTGTCTGGTGGTGAAATAAACGGTTATAGCTGACTGTGAGGGGGCGTCTGAACTAGAGCTGTAATCAGGCTATAAAAGTTAGGCCCGATAGAGCCCGAACCCGACAAGTACATTTTGATTGACAGCTTTTTAAAAGCCCGAACCCGTTTATAGCCTGACATTATATAAATGTGCACATGCACACAGCTCTATTGTCTTTTTTCATGAATGAGTCGTTTATAACATTACTTATTCATAACATAAGCTACAGGCCAAGCTGAAACCAAAAAATGAAAATAAGCCCTCTGTAACATGTAACATCTCAACACTCTCAATAGGCCCGGGTACACACACTTAACCTTTAAACTGGCTAACGCACCAATAAAAATAAGTAAATAAAATAAGTCTTTCTTAGCAAATTAATTAAAATAAATGATGAATGATGACTGGTATTTGGCACTAACGAAATTAAGAAAGAAATAAAGTCCGACCCAACAAAGATCTTCAGCTCTAGTCTGAACTAGTAACATTGTTAGGTCGAGCTGCAAACAATGCAGGGATTAACCTGGACCCGCTTTGACTAGCTGCTGCAACGTCCCGCGGTTGCTTTGAGCCTCATGGTCTCTAACGAAAAGGTCTTTTTGCAGAATTTAGACATTGCCTCATCGCCACGTCGTTAAATTTACACTTTCCCATCTTTGCATTTAGAACCTCACCTCGGCAACCGCGTAATGACAGCACGCAGATGCAGACCAACGTCAGCGCCTGTAGCCGACCTGCCGTAATAATCTAATAAATCACAGAGACGGTCATTTCTCTCCTGTTTCACACATACTAAATTAATCAACTATTAGATGTTTTACGGTGGACCACTGTTCAGCCACCAGCTGAAAATTCAATACCTACAGCCACTTTACGGTGAAATTTAAGACAATTTAAGACCTTAATTTCCCGGAGTTTAATTTAAGACTTTTTAAGGACCCGCAGGAACCCTCATAATTCTGTGCAGAATAAACAAATGTTTCCATTAAATGACCAAAAGTATGAAAGGAAATACTTTACAGTAAAACCTCAATAGTAAATGTTTTTAGTGTGTTAAAATCCACAGAACGTATAAGATATAAGTTTTGATATGAGATTATTTCTCTTCCCTCATTGTCAGAGTATTCTGCTTGTTTCAATAAAAAACTCTCTCCTATTTGACTCATTATTACTCAAAACAACACAATTATTTTGCAGGGGTCTGTTCTTCGTAAGTGGATCACTCAGTTAGCTGGATTTGGATATTGACGATTTGACACGATCCAGGATCGTTTCGTTCTTCAAAGCTGATCCGAGAGTTGTTGTCATAGCAACAGTTCTGCTAGGTCAAACCTGATCGGGAGCAGGCTCAATTCATATAAACAGGATTAGATCGGCTCAGTTCAAGCAAAGATAATACAGAAAGTATGTGCTGAATTCTGATATTTTCTTACAGTAGTAGTTATATATACTTGGGAAAATGGTACATATTTTTAAACTATATATATATAAAGTTATAGTCATTAATAAAATAAATAAAGTTATACATATTAATAAAACGTATGCAATCTGCACCCTCGAAATGAAAGTACAAAGACTGCCACCTGGTGATGCAAAGAGAAAACTTATTGATATTAACTTTTTAGATCGCTTTAGTACAAATTGTGTATAATAGAAATGCACAATATGTGACTTTTTTTTTTAAAGCAGTAATACATTTATGCAGTCATAAACATGTTTTGATAGTTAATATGCCGGTTATTTGATGCTTCACAAAAGTTGCAGACGCCTTTACCAATATGAAAATGCTTTTGTAAACAACCAGTTATTCTTTACACCGATTAAAAAACGGCTACTATAATAAAGAAAATCTTTTCTAAATGTAGAACTAAATACACTGATTTGCATTGAAATACATGATGAATACTCTTGTCTTGACAAATGAAAGTGTAAAGCCTGCAGCTCACAACAAATGTGGAAAGTTCTTGCGTGTCATATTAAACAAACCGGTTACTGCTAATTTGATGTAATTTTGCTCACATGTATAATTGAATATTAATCAGATGATGTCATTACGCTGCTGTGCCGTCAGCCAATCGCTGCATTGCTGATCATGATTTCGAGGATCGATAGATCTGTCCTTCATAACACACGCAGCGATCTCAGATCAGTTCATCCAGACGTTCTAATCTGATTCGCGAACTTGTTTGAAGAACCAAATTAGCGAGGGATCAGTTATCAAGATTAAAAGATCCAGGATCTGCCAAATAATCTCAGATCATTTAAGCCAGGTACGAAGAACGGACCCCAGGTCTAGAAAATGCTTCCTGATTTAAGAGTTTAGATATTTGGAATAGAAACAAGACACATAATTGAATGCTATATTGTGTAAGTAGCATATAACTCTTACCTCATAAGAGCTGTGTGTTGTTCTTGTGCTTCAGATTTTACCCTGCTGAAGTCTCTGGAGTTTCAGTCCATCTCAGTGGAGGCTTTTTCCTTCGCTGGTGATCAGTTCGTAGTTTTCGCTCAGCCCTTCAGCGGCAGATGCAGCTTCATGGAGTGGGATCACGTGCAGATGGAGTTCAGAAACTTCGACAACATCACGAGTAAGCAAACCGTGTCAGCGTCAATGAGATTACAGATCTGTCTTTATTTCCAGGATGAGCTACAGTATTGGTTTCAAACTCAAATCCTGGAGGAGCTCTGCATAGTTTAGCTCCGACTCACACCTGCTTAATAGTCTTTAGTAGTCTCGAACACCTTGTAGATCTGCGGCCCTCCAGGAATCCAGTTTGAGACCCATGCTTTACAGTAATATATTTGTGCAAGCATGTACCCTTCATTATCCTCAAACTGAAATGATATTCAACCCAACAAACATGTAATCTCAGCACTATATCCCCTCTGTAGGCACATCCACGGTCATCTGCAAACCTCTAGTCATCGACAGCCAGCTCTTCATCATAGTAGCTCAGCTGTTCGGCGGCTCGCACATCTTCAAGCGCGACGTCTCCGCAAACAAATTCATCAGAATCCAAGACATCGACATCCTGAAGATCCGCAAGCCCAACGACGTGGAAATCTTCGAGGTAGACGGAGAGTCCTTCTTCATCATCGCCGACAGCTCGAAAGCTGGCTCCACCACCATCTATAAGTGGAACGGAAACGGGTTTTACTCCTACCAGTCGCTCCATCCTTGGCACCGCGACACCGATGTGGAGTATCTGGACATTTCTGGAAAACCGCATCTGATTTTATCCAGCAGTTCGCAGAGGCCTGTTGTTTACCAGTGGAGCCGGGGCAGCGCTCAGTTCGAGAGGCGCACTGACATCCCGGAGATGGAGGATGTGTTCGCGGTCAAACATTTTACGGTGAAAAACGAGCTGTACATCTGCCTGACGCGCTTCATCGGCGACTCCAAAGTGATGCGGTGGGATGGCAGCATGTTTACAGAGATCCAGACCGTGGCTTCCCGGGGCTCCATGGTGTTCCAGCCGTTCTCCGTGGCCAGCTGGCAGTACGCCATCCTGGGCAGCGATTACGCCTTCACACGGGTCTACCGCTGGGACGCCAAGAAGAGGCAGTTCGTTCCCTTCCAGGAGCTGAACATCCAGGCGCCCAGGGCTTTCTCTCTGGTGTTCATCGATAACAGGGAGTTCCTGCTGGGGTCCAGTTTTAAGGGGCAAACGCGGATATATGAGCATCTGGTGCTGGACCTGAGCAGCTGAAGACACTCATGAAGCTGCTGTTCAGTGGAGACACCGAGGTCATGTTTCATCCTCAAATCCTACTTTGTATTTCCATTATTTTATGAGAGAGAGCATATTAACCCAAAGATTAATATTAAATAAATTGAGTAAATCAGGCTCAGATCCTGTAGTGTGAACTAGGCATTACATCGTCAGGAGTGGGCCCGACTCAGCATGTAGAATCACCTTTGGTTTCGGGATGAAACATGACCAGGATGTTCTGCTTCTCAGCATGAAGACTCTTCCAGACTCTCTGCATGCTGGAGCCGCTAAATGAGATTGTGTTTTGAAATGATCGATTAACGTCTGTTGTATTTTTACTTTGTGACTGCCGTACTTTCTTTAAAATACTCGCTCTTCTATTTATAAACGTGTCTATCTGGACATCTCTCGACCTGTAAATACAGTATTTTTATGTGGTGACTTATATTTGATATGCAGGCTGTAGATTTGATACACATGTTGAGCGTTTGGTTTATAAAGTAGCGTGTCGTGTTCTCATTGGTTTTTAGCATCTGTGTGTGTGTTTGGACTGTGGAATAATGGCCTGATGTCAGTACGTTTTCAGCAGGATGCCATGATTTGAAGCAATTCTGTCCACAAATGACATTATTCTGGGTTTGTGCATGCAGATTCATGCCTACACTTTTGGAAACTCTGATACTAACTTTAAATAAAGATTTGTCAGAATGTTAAACCTTTATATCGTCAAATAACGCTGGTTTATTTGTCAATATGCAGCTCTCTCTCATGTGACGTATCAAAATGTCATTTAAATATCATTTAGTCAGCGCAATCTTTATATTAACTGCAACAATGCGTAAGAGCTTCTGCCTGGTTTCTAGTCCAAATATCTAAAAACTCTTAAATCAAGAAGTGTTTTCTAGACAAGTAAATGATGTAGATTTCTTTTCAGAAATAATGTCCAAAATAAGTGGGTTTTTCTATAAAACAAGCTAAATAATCAAGACAACACTAAATAAGCATTTCTGCAGTGCGTTAAATGAATAATAAAGATCTCTGATGTTACAGAATGAAAGCACGCATTACACGTGTTCCCCTTTATTGTTAACTGTTCTGGTTGAGAGTACAAATATTAATGGTCAACAATCACGTATATTCTACTTCTTTAAAGACAAATATAAAACATTTGATAACAGGATTATTGTTCACATTATAGGATATCTGTGTTTGATTTATTGCAGTTATGAGCAGATGCAAAGCCAGAGTCAGGGGATTTTCAGGTCATCAGTGCAAAATAAACTCTACATTCAACACCAGTACTGGACTCATCGGGTCAGAGATCCTCTGTTCATTGAGATATTAATGCTGAACGTAATAGAGCTGTCAGTCTGCAGTCACCTGGTAATGTCGGACAGATCCCTTTCATTTCAGACCCCTAAAATAACTCCATTATATGAGGTCACTCGGACATTAGATGGTGCTTAATGCAAAACAGAAATGTTTTGGTACACAAGGGGGCGCTGTATAACTTTACTACTTCTGCACAACAATCAAGTGTTAGACGTGTGCTCTCCCTCAGGCTTTTCCTTAGATGCGTTTCAATCAGCACCCTAGCTCCCTTTGGGTTAAGTTAACAGTCCTTTAGAGTGGGTCTATTAGTCTATTAGGACGGAGCTGTCAGTCCTTTGGGGCGGGGCTATCCATCCTTTAGGATGAGGCTGTCAGTCCTTTAGGGTGGAGCTATCGATTCCTTAGGACGGCTATCACTCCTATCAGTCTATCAGTCCTTTACGGCTATCAGTCCTTTAGGGCGTGGCTATTAGTGCCTTTAGGACAGGGCTATCAGTCCTTTAGGGCAGAGCTATCAGTCCTCTAGGGTGGGGCTATCAGTCATGTAGAGTGGAGCTATCAGTCCTTTTTGGCAGGGCTATCAGTGCCTTTGGGGTTAGGCTATCAGTAATTTAGGGTGGAGCTATCAGTCCTTTAGGGTGGAGCTATCAGTCATTTAGGGCGTGGTTATTAGTGCCTTTAGGGTAGGGCTATCGATTCCTTAGGACGGCTATCAGTCCTTTGGGGTGGGGCTATCAGTCCATTAGGGCAGAGGTTCCCAAAGTGGGGGTCGGGACCCCCCGAGGGGTCGCGTGACAATGAAGGGGGGTCGCCTGGTGATTTTTAGAAATCAATAAATTTTTATTAAACCTTAAGACTTACTATATTTTATCAATAACCTACTGAAGAGAAAAAAATAGTAGTTTATAGTTACTATAAACTATATAGTTACTATAGTAGCTTATAGTTACTAGTTCTATTGGATTGCGACTTCTCGGGTAATTACATTATACTAAAGACACATCAATACAGTCAGATGCAGCAGATTTTGTAACACCAGGTTAAACTTTCTAGCCCATTTACAGCACTGACATACATAAAAAAAACAAAGAATAGACTTGGGTCTAATGGTGTGTTTGTGCGCGTCATTGCATACAAGGTTTCTGTATTTATAACCACCACCTCAAGAGAATATTGGGGGTCACGAGTCACTGGCATTGTCATTTTGGGGGTCGTGGGGCTGAAAAGTTTGGGAACCCCTGCTTTAGGGCATGGCTATTAGTGCCTTTAGGACAGGGCTATCAGTCCTTAAAGGCAGGGCCATCAGTCCTTTAGAGTGGAGCTATCAGTCCTTTAGGGCGTGGCTATTAGTGCCTTTAGACCTGGGCTATCAGTTTTTTAGGGCGGGGCTATTGGTCCTTTAGGGTGGAGCTATCAGTCCTTTAAGGCGGAGCTATCAGTTCTTTAGGGCGGAGCTATCAGTTCTTTAGGGCAGGGCTATGAGGGCATGTAGTGTTTCTGCCCTACTTTCGTCCATTTGTCTTCCTATATTTTGTTAGCATTGCCCATCTTCCAACAATCCAATCAGTTCCAGTTAAAAGCTTGGCCTACATTTTTTTCTCATTTCAGGATCGTTTCAGGTGAATGTATGCCACAATATGGAAAAAAATCCAAAAAATCAGTTTCATGGCCAGTTTTAAGGCCAGTTTCTACTTCTGTGTGGAGTGCAGGCAGTAGGTTAGGCATCCTTCACTGTACTCAGACATGCACCTCTCAGAAAATGTATCAACATGCTGTGAATATGCAGAGTGCAGGATCTGTGATTGGCCGTGGGGGGGGGCGGGCGGATGGGGGGCTGAAACTGGTGGTGCAAAGTGTTGAGTCCTAAGGAGGAGTTCCGGATGGAACGTTTGCATTGCGTTTGTTTTAAAACCACACTGCCTACTAGTGTTTCAGGAGTGTTACTGCAACAGACAGAACGCAGAAGTATAAATGCTTGCATGGCGTCGGGTACGAGGATAACAGCAATCATCGACACAGGAGTATAAACTGGGCTTAGAAAGGGAAAGGTCCCACAATGATGGTGAGCCGCAGTAAAGAGCTGGAGCGGTAGTTCATGAGCGAGTGTTGAGTGATCATCTCCAGATCCACGATCAGCTCCTGCGGACCCTCCAGAGACTGAGTCAAGACTAGCATCGCCCCGGCACTGCTGAAGCGCTAATGGACAGCCAATGAGAAGAAGGGGTGGGGCATGTCAGACACTAGAGAGGATTTGATTGGTCAGATGATATGACAAGAAACTGAAGTATGAAGAGACGACAAAAGAAGAATTGCCAAAAAAAACCGGTTTATATCTTCTAAATGCACATGTTGTCACTGTCTTGGAGACACTAGGTCATAGATGACCATAAAGACTAACATACTGATACCATAAACATCTAGAAACATTATTAATTTCCTTTTAATAGTACAGATAATAAGATGAAGACTGAACACAGCGTGTGAACAGTGATCTCTGGTGGACTGCAGCACATAAAGAGAGATTCAGAGAGTAGATGTTGCTCACCCTGAGGAAGAACTGTCCTCCGTCATTGCCGTCTTTGATTCTGAAGGTGTAGTGTGCGCTGGAGAAGATGTTTGTGGCCTGTATCTGGAAGATGTCTGCTGGCACGCTGCGCTCTGAATGCATGTTCATGTATTTGTAGACGATGGACTGCGGCAGGCCTCGACACGCTGCTGCCGACTGACACGAACAACGACTGCGGATGAAAGCGGCAGCGTTAAGACCTGTTCACATCCAGCAATTTAACCCTAATTTAACTTATATTTGTGTCCACAACAGCGAGCAATAATAATAATCTGCTTATTTGTAGCTGCTGTTTCTGTCTGCAATTCCCTCTTGTATCCAGCAGGTGTCCTCAGTGTTTCTGACCAGTGAATCCAGCTCATGTAATCTCTCTAATCAAACAGCGGATTGAGCGACCGCAGTTAGTATAACCGAATAAAAACAACACCAATTATTTTACCAGCATTTTCAAAGGAGGAAGCACAAAGATGCTGAAACTACACTGGACACCTGAGCTGTTTTGATCATTATTTATACCCATTGATTTCAATAATTATCTGTTCATTATGTGTAAATAATCTAATAAAAGAGGGCTTTTATCTGCGCTCTTACTTCTCTGAGGTCCGCACATACGGCTCCAGACACGGGTTTCGTGGGTAACATCGATGACCTCCGTAATAATTCCAGCACATCTCGTCTTCCCGGCACTCGTGAGCTGCTGTTTCACACTCGTTGATGTCTGTGACAGAAGACAGAAGAGTGGTTTGAGTCCCGGCTGGGTCAGTTGGTGTTTCTGTGTGGAGTTTGCATGTTCTCCCCGTGTTGGTGTGGGTTTCCTCCAGGTGCTCCGGTTTCCCCCACAGTCCAAACACATGCGCTATAGGGGAACTGATCAACTACACTGGCCGTAGTGCATGAGAGTGTGTGAATGAGTGTGTATGGGTGTTTCCCATACCTTAATTACTTAATTTTGACTCATTATTTCTTAAATCAAAACAATATGTTCTGCCTATTTAGAAATGCTTCTTAATTTAAGAATCTTCAGATATTCGGACTAGTAACAAGAGAAAAATCTAAGTAAACAGTACGCACAATGCTTGTTTAAACGTTAATATTGATCGATTATTAAAGCTGCAACACACAGGAACAGCTCCAGTGGCAGGGTTTGAGCTCTGCGTTGTTTCCATGATGAGCATGTGATGTGTTTGTGAATTCCTGGCTGGAATCTCTGGGTGTGGATGGAGAGAGCGCTGTATTTCATGAAGGAGGAGCCCGATACCTTGACACATTCTTGTTCTGTGTATCTGATATCCGTCTGGGCAGGTGCAGGAGTATCCACCCTCGCTGTTCACACACGCGTACTGGCACATGTAGCTGGAGAACGAGCACTCGTCGATATCTGAACACACACAACAGGGCAGACACACACAACACTGAGCCTCTGTGCAAACAGAAAACTATTGAACAGCTTGATGTAAATGAACAAGGACTGTACTATCATCATTTTGACATGTTTTTGATGCCCATTTTAGAAGTGAATTGGTTGTTGGTTTGACATTAAGGTAGTTAACATGCATTGTATAAAGTAAATGCAGTGTAAATGTATAAATCTTACATTATAATGTTCAGTGGTCTAAAGGAGATCAGTGTGTGGATGTCAAATGGACCTGAAGGTTTTGGTATCAAATTGATTGGTAGTTCTGATGTGTTTTGTATGTCATGCTTGATGTCAGTTTGCTGTCTGCTGTGAAGCTGTGGATGAAGATAGCCTGACCCACACAGAGTCAGCACTGACCCACACAGGAGACAGCATCCGGGCCCAGTTCATAACCCTGCTCACACTGGCAGATGAAGGAGCCCAGCAGGTTAAAGCACTGATGCTGACACGGCTGAGACACTTCACACTCGTTCACATCTGAAACACACACACACACACACACACTTTTACACTTTCCATCTGTGTGCAGGTCATCTGCTCATGCTCACAATCTGCAGGATGTTTCTGCATGGGTAAAATGGTAATATTAACTGCCTAAAGTTGCCAAGGAAAGGTGAGACTGTAAGTTAAGACTGTCATTTTTTGCCCATATCGAGACGTACATCCACTTGAAGCGCTCCTGAAATCAGAAATAAAATATAGAGCAGTGCATGATTTTGTCCTTTGGGAACTAATTGGATCATTGGAAGATGGGCGTATCTAAGAAAACAAGACTGACAAATGGACAAATGTTTGGCAAAAAACAAGACATGGACGGATGACCACACCCTAAAGGACTAATAACCCCCGCCCTAAAGGACTAATAGCCACGCCCTGAACAGCTCTACCCTAAAGGACTGATAGCCCCACCCTAAAAGATTGATAGCCCCTCCCTAAATGGCTAATAGCCCCACCTTAAATGACTAATAGCTCTGCCCAACAAGATTGATAGCATCAACTTAAAGATCACTAAAGGACAGATAGCCTCACTCTAAATAATAGCCCGGCCCAATACGACTGATATTTAGCCCCACCCTAAATGATTGATAACCCTGCCTTAAAGGACTGATAGTCCCACCCTATAGACTAATAGCTCCACCCTAAAAGATAGCCCCACCCTAAAAAACTGAAAGCCCCACCTTAAATTATTGATAAACCCGCCCTAAAAGATTTATAGCCCCACCCTAATTGATGAATAGCTCCGCTTCAAAACGCTGATAGCCCTGCTCAAAAGGACTAATAGCTCTGCCCTACACGACTGATAACATCAACCTGAAGGGCAGTAAAGGACAGATAGCCCCACCCCAAATGATTGATAGCCCCGCCCTAAAGGACTGATAGCCCCGCCCTAAAGAACTGATCGCTCCACCCTAAAGGACTGATAGCTCCGCCCTAAAGAACTGATCGCTCCACCCTAAAGGACTGATAGCTCCGCCCTAAAGAACTGATCGCTCCACCCTAAAGGACTGATAGCCCCACCCTAAAGAACTGATCGCTCCACCCTAAAGGACTGATAGCCCCACCCTAAAGAACTGATCGCTCCACCCTAAAGGACTGATAGCTCCGCCCTAAAGAACTGATCGCTCCACCCTAAAGGACTGATAGCCCCACTCTAAAGAACTGATCGCTCCACCCTAAAGGACTGATAGCCCCACCCTAAAGAACTGATCGCTCCACCCTAAAGGACTGATAGCCCCACTCTAAAGAACTGATCGCTCCACCCTAAAGGACTGATAGCTCCGCCCTAAAGAACTGATCGCTCCACCCTAAAGGACTGATAGCTCCACCCTAAAGAACTGATCGCTCCACCCTAAAGGACTGATCGCTCCACCCTAAAGGACTGATTGCTCCACCCTAATAGATTGATAACCCCCCCAGAACGGATTAGAGAATTAAAACGTGATCAGTTTGACCTCTCTTATGATTCTTGCACATTTCATTATTTAAACTTCATCTGAAATGCACAACAGACGAGTGTAATATATCAGCATCCGTGAAGAGATTATGAGTTTGGAGTTTGCCCATAGTTGGAAACAGCATGCATGCGCTGTACAGTGTCGACTGTAAAAACTACACTTGCTCTGTTGTTGCAGACAGTTCACGTTCTCCCTCCTCCCGCACACTGACCTGCAGCCCCGTCCACATGCTCAGAGCTCCTCTGCTGCTCTTATCACTGAATTCTCCAGTTTCCATTAAGTGCTTTATTTCCGCATTAAATGCTTCTGCAGGAAACCTTTCCTCACTGAGGAATTCCTCCTCATCATCATCATCATCATCATCACGCTGTTGATCAAAATGAAGCACTTTAATAGAAAAGGTCTTCAAGTGTTGATTCAGAAGTTAAGCAACTCAGAACAGCTGAGCAACTGCACTGCAGAAACACTGCTCATTCTGTCTCATTTCTAGACCAAATAACTGAGAATTCCTCAATCAGTCAGCATTTTCTAGACGAGCACAATATATAGTCTGTTTTCAGTGATAAAGAGTCAAAATGAGGAGAGTTTTTCATTGAAACAAGCAAAATAATCAGACAATGAGGGAAGCAGGTTATTATTATTTTCACAACATTATTCTGCTCACCCTGTTGTCAGATTTATTTGAAAAACTCTTGCGGCTGGAAGGGCATCCGCTGTGTAAAAACGTGCTGGATAAGTTGGCGGTTCATTCTGCTGTGGCGAATCTGGATTAATAAAGGGACTAAGCCGGAAAGAAAATGAATGAATGAATAAATGAATGAATGAATAAAGACTATATTTTTTACTTGTCCATAAATGCTTCTTGATTTAAAATGTTATTTGCACCAGAAACAACACACAAACTCTAAATAAGGAAGCATACTGTGCGGTGTCGAGTCACTTATGAAAGATTCCCTTCCGTCGCCTGCTCCATTAAACCCGAACTCCTCCAAACTGATTGTTCTCCTTGTGAAAAATGCACCATGAGATGTTTTAAATTCCTCTGTGAGCGATCTGAAGGCAAATTCTTGGCACGACTATAAGTCAAGCTAATCTGAGAGACTCTGCTTCTTCTCCATTACAGTACTCATATCTGCTTCAGCTCAATAATGCTGCAGTGACGATAACACACGTCTATTGTTAAATCTGTTTAAAGTGGAGCTTTTCTGCGTTCCTTAATACTGATTCTTCGACAGCACTCACAGCGGTCTAATGTTGGCCTTATCACAGAAGAACTCCAGCATTTCCTTAAAGGGTCAGTTCACACAGAAATTAATATTTTCAAGACTCTTAGAACACACATTAAGACACAGTTCTGCTGGACGTGAATGTTCTGTCATTACTGATTCACTCCTTCACTTTTCACAAACATGTTTGAGTTTCTTTCATCTGTTGAACACAAAAGAAGACAGTATCTTCCATAGGGAATATGCAGAAGGACTTTTAATTTGTAAGTAACCTGGGTCAGGGACTTCCGGAGAACTGTATGCCATTACAAAATCGACACGTTTAGGGTCTGTTTTCTTTAAAAATCTGTCATCTCCACTGGCTGAGTGATATCCGATATAAAGTGGGTCTCAGAACGTAAAAGAAGCATTAAATTACATTTACATCGCCACAGCCTCATCACCCTGCAGCCCAAGAGCTGCGAATCACTGAAGCTAAGCAGGGCTGAGCCTGGTCAGTGTCTGGATTGGAGACCACATGGGAACACTAGGCTGCTGCTGGCAGTGGTGTTAGTGAGGCCAGCAGGGGGCGCTCAACCTGTGGTCTGTGTCCTAATGCCCCAGTATAGTGAAGAGGACTCTATATACACACACACACACAGACACACACACAGGCCTTGGACTCACCCACACAGCTGTGGTTGTTGCTGGCGAGCTGATATCCATCATTACACTCACAGTAGTAGGAGCCGGCGGTGTTCACACACCTGTGCATGCAGTAGTGGGACAGCAGACACTCGTTTCTGTCTGCAAAGAAGTTCACACACACACACACATACACATACACATACACATACACACACAGTGTCAGCAAATGAGACAGATGTAGTTGGATAATAAAAGTATGTTTTTTCTTGTTCAGCTGTTCCTGCATTCCCTCATCAGTGTGGGGTTTTACGTGACCATGTTCAGTTTAATTCAGCTGCTTATTTTAGAAAAGCTACTTCATTACAGTAATGCATTACTTTACTTGTTACTTAGAAACCTCATATTATTATGCAACCTGCGTAACTTGTAATGCGTTTCCCTCAACACTGGGGCTGCGGTGCGGGACTCACCCACACACTGCTCTCCATGTCTCTGGTATCCAGGCTGACACTGACAGCTGTAGGAGCCTCTGCTGTTGTAGCAGATCTGGTCTGAACCGCAGGTGTGCAGACCCTGAGAGCATTCATCCACATCTGGACACACACATACACACACACACACACACACACACACACACACACACACACACACACACACACACACACACACTCACACACACACACGGAATATTCATATTTATAGATTAATTATACAGACTGTATATTGTGTCCTCTTCCCCCAAAGTCTATGCCCAATTTCCACCTTCAAAGCAAACAATCTGCAGTCAACTCTGTTACTGTCAACTCCGTTACCGTCAACTGTTACTATCAACTCTGTTACTGTCAACTCTGTTACTGTCAAGTGTTACTGTCAACCCCATTACTGTCAACTCAGTTACCTTCAACTGTTACTGTCAACTCCGTTACCTTCAACTGTTACTGTCAACTCCGTTACCGTCAACTGTTACTGTCAACTCTGTTACCGTCAAGTGTTACTGTCAACTCCATTACTGTCAACTTCGTTACCGTCAACTGTTACTGTCAACTCCATTACTGTCAACTTCGTTACCGTCAACTGTTACTGTCAACTCCATTACTGTCAACTTCGTTACCGTCAACTGTTACTGTCAACTCCGTTACCGTCAACTGTTACTGTCAACTCCGTTACCGTCAACTCCGTTACCTTAAACTGTTACTGTCAACTCTGTTACCTTCAACTGTTACTGTCAACTCTGTTACCGTCAACTCCGTTACCTTCAACTGTTACTGTCAACTCTGTTACCGTCAACTCCGTTACCTTCAACTGTTACTGTCAACTCCGTTACCGTCAACTGTTACTGTCAACTCCATTACTGTCAACTCCGTTACCGTCAACTGTTACTGTCAACTCCGTTACCGTCAACTCCGTTACCTTCAACTGTTACTGTCAACTCCGTTACCTTCAACTGTTACTGTCAACTCCGTTACCGTCAACTGTTACTGTCAACTCCATTACTGTCAACTCCGTTACCGTCAACTGTTACTGTCAACTCCGTTACCGTCAACTCCGTTACCTTCAACTGTTACCGTCAACTCCGTTACCTTCAACTGTTACTATCAACTCCGTTACCGTCAACTGTTACTGTCAACTCCGTTACCGTCAACTGTTACTGTCAACTCCATTACTGTCAACTCCGTTACCGTCAATTGTTACTGTCAACTCTGTTACCGTCAACTCCGTTACCTTCAACTGTTACTGTCAACTCCGTTACCGTCAACTGTTACTGTCAACTCCATTACTGTCAACTCCGTTACCGTCAACTGTTACTGTCAACTCCGTTACCGTCAACTCCGTTACCTTCAACTGTTACTGTCAACTCCGTTACCTTCAACTGTTACTGTCAACTCTGTTACCGTCAACTCCGTTACCGTCAACTGTTACTGTCAACTCCGTTACCGTCAACTCCGTTACCTTCAACTGTTACTGTCAACTCCGTTACCTTCAACTGTTACTGTCAACTCTGTTACCGTCAACTCCGTTACCTTCAACTGTTACTATCAACTCCGTTACCGTCAACTGTTACTGTCAACTCTGTTACCGTCAACTCCGTTACCTTCAACTGTTACTATCAACTCCATTACCGTCAACTGTTACCGTCAACTCCGTTACCTTCAACTGTTACTATCAACTCCGTTACCGTCAACTGTTACTGTCAACTCCGTTACCGTCAACTGTTACTGTCAACTCCATTACTGTCAACTCCGTTACCGTCAATTGTTACTGTCAACTCTGTTACCGTCAACTGTTACTGTCAACTCCATTACTGTCAACTCCGTTACCATCAACTGTTATCCCCAACTCTGTTACCGTCAACTCTGTTATCCTCAACTCCATTTTTGTCAGCTCTGTTTTTGTCAACTCTGTTACCGTCAACTCCATTACCGTCAACTCTGTTACCATCAACTCCGTTATCGTCAACTCTATTATCGTCAACTCCGTTATCCTCAACCTGTTATCGTCAACTCTGTTACCGTTAACTCCGTTAGCGTCAACTCCGTTACCGTCAACTTTGTTACCGTCAACTCCGTTATCTTCAACTCTGTTTTCCTCAACTCTGTTATCCTCAACTCTGTTATTATCATCTCCTAAGTTTCCTAAAATAAATGTACCGTGGCAGTAGTTGTGTTGGTCGCGTGTGAATCCAGCAGAGCACTGGGAGCCTCCGTTGGCTGCAGATCTGTGGTTTGTCTCTGTGTGTGTTTGAGGAACAGAGTCTGAACTCTGCGATGCTTCATTTTCCTTATTAATGAAGATCTGAGCGTTCTGCGGGAGGCAGAGGTATCCGCCGTAGTGGTTTATACACTTCATGCCCGCTTTACAGGCATCAGACACGAGGACACACTCGTCAATATCTGTGGGAAAACATGCAGACGACTGGCATTAAAGAGACAATTCAATTCAAATCAAATTGATAATTTTATTATATTATTAATAGTGATTTTCACAATTATTATCATACAGATGTGCAGTTTTGGGTGAGCTTTAAGCATTATGATCAGTTTCTCAGACTCATGGAAACAACTGTTGGCTATTAAAGGCAATAGAGAGAACATCAGATGATCAGTTATTGTATTACCTGTGCATACCTCTTTAAAGGGATCATACTCATAGCCTTCAGTGCATCTCTGAAAACACAACGAAAACATAAAACACAGCATGAGAAACATGAGCTCTCTATTAAAATGGCTTCAGGTGTAGAGCGCATTACAGCTTCATATCCCTCCGCTGAATGATTAGAGTTATTTCAGCTACAACAGTCAGAAACACATCAAAACACAACAGAATGCTAATCCATGCTAGAAACATGCTAACAACATGCTAATTCATACTACAAACTTATTAACAACATGGTAAGTCATGTTAAATATATGCTACCAACATGTTTATTCATATTAGAATCATGCTAACATGCTAATTCTTATTAGACACATGCTAACAACATGTTTATTCATACCGGAAAAATGCCATCAACATGCTAATAAACCACCAATTCCTATAAGAAACAAGGTAGCAACATGCTAATACATACTAGAATCATGCTAGCAACATGCTTATTCAAACTAGAAGCCTGCTAACAACATGTTTATTCTTGCTAGAAACATGCTAATCCATACTAGAAACATGCTAAAATAATTCTAGCAACATGACAATTCATTCTAAACTGATGCTAGCAACATGTTATTTAATGCTAGAATAACATTAAGGACATGCTTATTTATACTAGGAATATGTTAACATGCTAATTCATTCCAGAAAGATGCTAACAACATGTTAATTCATACTAGAAACATGCTAACAACATGTTCATTCATGCTAAAGTCCTGCTCCCAACATGTTAACTCATGCTAGAATCACGCAAACAACATGCTAATTCATGCTAACAACATGTAATTGAGGCTAACAACATGCTAAATCATGCTAAATTATGCCACCAACATGCTTATTTATACAAGACACATGCTAACAACACAATAATTCATTCTAGAAATTTACTAATAACATGGTAAGTAGTAATTCAGTAATTCATACCAGAAACATGCCATCAACATGCTAATAACCCACTAATTCTTAGCAGAAACATGGTAGCTACATGGTAAAAGATACTAGAATCATGCTAGCAACATGCTAATTCATGCTACCATCATGCAAATTCATACAATAATCATGTTACATTATTATGAATCATACGCAAAACATGCTAACAACATGCTAATTCATACTAAGAACCTGCTACCAACATGCTAATTTACGCTAAAGTCATGCTACCAACAGAAACATGCTAACATGCTAATTTATACTATAAACATGTTAACATGCTAATTCATACTGGAAACATGTTAGTTCATAGTAGAAACAAGGCAATGGCATGCTAATCCATAATGGAATAATGACAAAAACATGCTAACTCATACTAGCAACCTGCTAACAACATGCTAAAGTCATCCTCCCAACATGTAAACTCATGCTAGATTTATGCTAACAACATGCTAATTTATGCTAGAAACATGCTAACATGCTAATCCATATTAAAAATATCCTAAATTTATTCTAGCCACATGACAATTCATGCTGAACCGATGCTGGTGACATGCTATTTAATGCTAAAAACATGCTGCGCAATGCTAATCAGATGGCTTTCTCAAGTCTTTAAACTTCAATATCTAGTTATAGAATAAAGCACATCTGTATAACAGCCTCCGCTTGGCATCATGTGCACTACACGCTAATGACTCAACAGCCAGTTATTCCTGACACTCAGTGAGCGGTACAGGGATGTGTGTGGATGTTCTCACCGTGTAGGACACAGACTCCTCGGCTTCTTGAGAAAGCACACAGGCCAGCGCTGCCATCATCAGGCTGACGGTCCACATCTCTGCAGGAGTTAAAGAGCTGTAAACAACACCTCACACCTGTAGTTACATCACTGAGAACATGTGGAAACACTTCATCCTGCTGTCATTGGCACAGCTCCAGCATACTTCTGCACCAGAGCAGAAACAACTACCATAATAATAATAATAATAATCCACTTTATTTTATATAACGGCTTTAGAAGCAGCATGTGAAAGCACTTTACAGACAGCTGAAGTCATCATTATTTCAGTTCTTTTAAAAATATTTCTCATGTAATATGATTGATCGCGGCTGGTCTCTCATCAGTAATCAGTAATAATCCAATCACATTGATCCAAGACTGCAATAAATAGACCAATTTTGCTCTACTGCTTTATCTTCATTGTGGAAGAAACCCCCTTCCACCCCATCTCCTCCTTTTCCTCCTTTACCAGGGGGAGCTCTCGAGACCTACCTTATCTTGGAGCCCCTTTAGATGCTCATTGACAAGGCGGGAGTCCTGTGCTCAATTACCTCCGAGCTCAGGGTTCTCTCCCGGGACAGCATGCCAAACCTGCAGGGCTTAATTTGTGAATTGTGAGGTCCCGGGGTAACGGATCCGGCATGTTACCCGAGGATGTAGAGGTGTCATGCACGAAAGTTGAAGGGGGGCCTGCTAGGACTGGGGTGAGTTGGTTGTCGCGGACGAAAGTGAAGAGGGTTGGGGAGTTGTGGAAAAAAGTGAAAGCGAATAGCTGATGGGAGAGGAGAGCGGTTAAGTAGGGGAATCAGTAAAATTCTTAAATTAATTGATGACAAATTAAGCCCTGCAAACCTGCTATTAGCGTCAAGCAATATCTAAGAATTTCTATTGAAATGTTCTTGCTCTGTTAAACCACACTTCAGAGATGTTTAATAAATAATTGACTTCAGCTGACTCCATGTAAAATGTAATAACCATACAAAAACAGCCAAGAAATCAAAACAACAAAATATTGGGAACCACATTTAACAAAATTCACATATTAGTTTAAAGTGATGGTGTGTAAACACTGCATTCTGAATCTGAACATCAGAGGGAAGAGAAGGAGTTTAGATTTACATATATTTACACATACATTACAGAATTTAGCCTACTACAGAAATATATAGTTAACACTACAGAGGTTTTGAACCATACTAAAGTACGGGCGATTCTACAGTCGTCATGGCAACACAACAACTATAGAAATTGATCTGTTGTGGTGATTCTACAGTTGCTATGGTAACACAACAACTATAGTAATTGATCTGTTGTGGTGATTCTACAGTTGCTATGGAAACACAACAACTACAGTAATTGATCTGTTGTGGTGATTCTACAGTTGCTATGGAAACACAACAACTACAGTAGTTGATCTGTTGTGGTGATTCTACAGTTGCTATGGTAACACAACAACTACAGTAATTGATCTGTTGTGGTGATTCTACAGTTGCTATGGTAACACAACTGAACTAATGTAAACAAATGACTCTGTACTGTAGTTTTCTACAGCTATAGGGTATATTACATTACAGTACACCACAGTTTACTGTAGTAAAAACCAAAGTATACAACAGTGTTTATTACAGTCGATCACTTCACTATAGTCAACACTACAGTATGCTGGAGCGTTCATTAACAACGACCTGCAGATATATTCAATATAATACACTTTACAATTACTACAGTATTAACTTTAAACCGTGTTGGGTAAACAATGTAATACGTACTAAAAGTATATTATTACTTTATTATTAATACAAATATATATCAAAAGTAATATATTACAATCTTCTAATAAATCTTATTTTTTTTAAAATAGCATTACACTTACTGTAAGCTAGTTTACTTTCCTTTAAAGGAACACATTTAGCTACTTTAAAAGGTGATTTTAGATTATAATACATCACTTTTGTCCCAACACTGATGATGAATTATATCTGTCTTTCTTTTGTGCATGACAAAATCAGATATTGTAATAAATGTTGTTTGTATCCTGAAAATGAACGTCAGTTTTACTCAGGGTCAAAATGTACCACACATTCAAGACAATGAAACAGTCATTAAACTAAACTAAACAGCTTTTAAACGAAATGACAGAAGCTTTAAAAGCAGCTGTAATAGATCATGCAGATGAGCAAGCTTTCTGACCGTTTCTCTTTCTAATCTACTCAAAACACACTCAAAGCTCATCAATCCGACTTTACTGAAGGTTATTATTCTAAATGACGATACCTGCTGTGCTGAAGATCTGCTGCGGTGTGTGTGGAGGAGCTGCTGATCTGATGAAGCTGTGTGTGTGTGTGTGTGTGTGTGTGTGTTCGGGAATGTGAGCAGGTTGTTTCTCGCTGCTGGAGGAAGGCTCTCGGATTACATAAACTATTAATACAACTGCAAATCATTGCTTAATTAATAAACGATCAATTAATTGTGTTAATTTTAATCCATGCAGCGGCCTTAATGGAAGTTCTGACGGCGGGAAATTTGAATCACGTGACCCAAATCGTCAAAAGCCAGTGTATCTGAGATGAATCCGCCATTTATGAATGTATTCTTAACCTGAAGGAACATATCTAGACAGGTTACGAACAATTTAGCAAAGCATTTAGAATTGTTTAGTGGTTGAAATGCTAGTATTTAAAAAAATCTATAATTATTTAGCTATAATGTACTTTTAAAAACTTGTTTTTGACTGTTTATTGCCAACTACTGCTTACAGGAAAACAGTTTAACCCATCTAAGCTGGTTGGTTGGTTTTAGCTGGTCAACTAGCCTGGTTTTAGAGGGGTTTTGGCCATTTCCAGCCTGGTTTTCAGCCATTTACAGCCTGGTCTTAGCTGGTCAGGCTGAAAAATGACCAGCTTAATCCAGCTAAAACCAGCTTGACCAGCCTGGTTTAAGCTGGACATAGCTGGTTTTGGCTGGGCTCTCAGCCTGGCTAGGCTGGTCAAGCTGATTTTAGCTGGTCATCTCCCAGCCTGACCAGCTAAGACCAGGCTGGAAATGGCTGGAAACCAGGCTGGAAATGGCCAAAACCCCTCTAAAACTAGGCTGGTTGACCAGCTAAAGCCAGCCATCCAGCTTATACTGGTTTAAGCAGTTTTTTTCATTAGGGCAGTGTCTGAACAACGCGCAGGTTAGTGTATTCTCCATCAGCTGTGTACCGTTATCCTGTTTGGTTCTCTTGTTTGGTATTTTAGGGTTCTTTACACTTGGTTCAATTGCCTGGATCGTACCCAAAGTTGATTGTCCCCTCTTGCCACCTTCTTGGTTGGTTTGTGTTTACACCGTCTTTTCCTTCTAAACCCCGGTACGCTTGCGTCATCGAGCTGCTGTTGAGTGTAGGCTATGGTTAGGCCCACACGGAATCTGCACGTGCAGAATTCCGCAGATTTCTAGCTTTATTTTAACCGTTATTAATTCTGTTTATTTACTTGAGTAAAAGTGTAAATCTGAATTTATTCAGTTTTTATTCAGTAATCTATTACTTTTTATTTCATATATTATGGTTTTAGTTTTGATACTCCGCTGGATACTCCCCAACTAATTCCTCAGAAATACACAGATTTTTACCAAAATTCCCTGCAGAAATAGCAAAAAATGTCCGCAGATTCTAAGTGACGGACACGAAAGCAAAGCACCAAAAGACGCTCTTAATCTTGTCTTCATCTGTACAGTATGTGAGTTGCAGTGACATTTGTAACTGTCACTTGTTTCTATTTGTCTCTTTAGCACTTGTTAGTTAAACTGTCACGTTAATTCAGTCAGATGAATATGGAGTTCAGACTGGGTCAACACTCCTGAGAACAATCCTCAAAACAGGCAGCGAATCCAACATGTAATCAATAATGAGCACAATCAGACACACAATAGCAGGAAAGAGAGGAAACGCAGCAGCTCGGCTAATGAGCGTTCACACACTCCAGCAGATCAACAGGACATGATGGAAATGTGGACGTGAGAACTGGGCTGCGTCTCAATCAGCTCCTGATGTCGGAGTGTACATGAGTTAGTGCACTATTAAGAAGTGTGACATGAGAACATCCTCATTATACATCCATCATCAAAACTGGTTATTAACGACAGCACTGCAAACAAAGTGCAAATATCAGCAACCACCAACTATTCCAGCATGTTTTACACAGCGGATACCCTTCCAGTTGCAACCCAGTACTGGGAAACACCCATTCACACACACACACACTCATACACTACGTCCAATTTAGTTGATCAGTTCCCCTATAGCGCATGTGTTTGGACTGTGTGGGAAACCGGAGCACCTGGAGGAAACCCACACCAACACGGGCGTGGGTTACATTAAAACATTAAAAGGGTTATTAAAATACTGATCGGCACTTTGTGTGTTTGATGAAAGACAGACATCAAATTCAACAGTCATAAATTCCATTTATTCTGTTCGAATGACAGCCAAATATACAATCCAGTTATTAAAAGCTCAAACGAGATGTCAAAACAACACCATAAAGCTGCTTGAGCAACTAAAACACACACAATACACTCACAGACCACATTTAAAAGCGGCAGTTCACACATACATGTCATCATTTATACACTATTCACAAAAGAAGATACTTAGAAAAATGTTGGAAACCTGTAACCATTGACTTTCATAGTCTGTAAAAAAGCACACCAATATTAGATTAGCGCTTATCAGCATTCTTCAAAGTGTCTTCTGTTGTGTTTAACAGAAAAAAGGAAACTTTAATGTCAATCGTGAGTCTTTTTTGGGTGAACTGTCCCCTTTACAGACTCAAGCTCATACTGATTCTGGATCAGCAGAGTGATAAATACGATAACAAGCCTTCAATTACAATCAGACAGAAAGAGAATACAAAAATACACCAGCATGGTTTAAAAAAAGAAACAGACGGGATTGAGGAAATATTCAGGTCAGCGTCCATTTATCATTTCACCAGCTTTAAAACACCTTCATCACTGGGACCTGTTTAAAGTGCATTTCAGAAGTCCAACCCAGTGATGCTCTTAAAGGGTCAGCTCACACATGAAGGAAGATTCTGTCATTAATCCCTCATCTTCATGCTGCTTCAATCCTCTGAGACATCCTCTAAGACACAAATGAGGATATTTTAGATGAAATCCTGGAGCTCTCTCATCCTCCATAGACAGCACGGCTCCTGAGATGCTCAAAGACCGAGAGCATGGACAATCATTCAGTGAGTCTTCAGCTGTGATCATATCAAGCTACAACACAACATCTGTGCTCCAAACAATTTGTTCTCTTGTCTTATGGGTCACGTGATTATGTGTTGCGACATGTAACTTTATAATATGCCAATATTATAGACATATCACTGTAATATTAAATAACATCTATATACTATTACAGGATTAAATCATATTAAGTTTATAGAATATAAACATGTCTGCAGATGTCCACACAGAAGACTTTTAATCCCACTTTATTTATTTAAAGCAGGATATCACACATCACAAAAATGCTTTTCTATTTAGAGTTTAGTCCTGTTTCTCATCCAAATATCTGAAAACTCTTAAATCAAGAAGCGTTTTCTAGAAAAGCACAACAAGAAATAATGAGTCAAAATTTTGTTTTGTTTTTTCTTAAAACAAGCAAAATAATCTGTCAATGGGGTAAACAGAATAATCTAGCGTTCACTTTCAAATAATATTCTTTTATTTCTTCCCCCATTTTCAGATCATTTTGCTTATTTTAAGAAAAAACTTTCTGCTTATTTTACCGTATATTGCACTTATCTAGACAATGCTTCTTGATTTAAGAGTTCTTAGATAACTACATTAGAAAAAAGACAAATATAAGCAGTGTATAGACACAATTAACATACATCAGCATACAAACACGCTTACCTGATGCTGAAGAGGAGAGAGTGCTGAGTACAGTCATTATTTTCTGGGGTGTTTGTGGATAAAACTACACTAATAGCTTCATAACATTATGGAAGTACCACTGAAGATGCATGAAGAGTCTCTCGAGACACAGTGCTGTCTATGGAGGATGAGAGAGCTCCAGGATCTCATCTAAAATGTCCTGAAGATGAACCAAAGGCTTAAAGGATCGAAACTACATGAGGGAGAGGAATCAATGGCAGATATTCAATTTCTGAGGGAGCTACACTACAAAAAAGGCTTTCCTTAAGAGCTTTTGTTTAATTTCTAGTCAAAATACCAAAGAATTCTTCAATCAAGAAGCATTTTCTAGACAAATAAAAAAGTATTGTTCTATTTTCAGAAATAATAGAGTGAAAAAGATCTTATATAGCTTTAAAATAAGCTAAATAATCTGCCAATGGGGTAAATTAAATAACCTTATGTCAAAAGGAAAAACTAAATTATTCTGCTCACCCCATTGTCAGATTATTCTGCTTGTTTTAAGGGAAACCCTCCTCATTTTGACTCATCATTGCTGAAAGCAACACTATATTATTGTGCTCGTCTAGAAAATACTACTTGATATCAGAGTTTGTAGACATTTGGACTAGAAACTAGACTAAAGAAGCATTATTCTGAGTGTGACCCAGCTGTAATCTCAGTGTTTCTCTCCATCTAGAAGAAGCTGGTCTTGAGTTTGATGGTTGGCGCGGCGGGTGCAGCGGGCAGGGTTTGTCTGGCGGTGCTCTTGGCTCTGCTGTGGGCTTGTTTGGACCTGATGGCCGCCTCCAGACGGGTCTTGAGCTCCGGAGCGGCTCCGATCACGGTCATGAAGGCGGCGGGGTAAAGCGGGCCGGTGTGCATCAGGCTCTGGAGGGCGAAATCATGCAGACCTTTAGAGCTGCTGGAGGAGGAGCTGAAGCTGGAGTCATCTAGCAGATAAGAGACCAGCGTGGGGACCAGCAGAGCCAACAGCTGAACACCTGCGACACACACACACACACACATTATTATAATGCTGCCTTTTTAAAGGTGACCTATTCTGCATCTTCTCACAAGCTGTAAATGCGTCTCTGCTGTCTCTCTAGAGTGTGTGTGTGTGTGTGTGTGTGTGTGAGTTTGAGCTGAGAACAGCACACAGATCATGTCCTCCAGCTCTCTAAAACTGACCCTTTCAGGCTTTGATCCTAACTGTGGTGTTTGGTGCCCGTCGCTTTAAATGCAAATGAGATTGTGCTCTTTTCAGAAGAGGGCGGAGCTACAGACAGATGTGAAACAGCAGTGTGTGTGTTGTGAGTGCTGGTCAGGTGTGTGTGATGCTTCTGTCAGTCTATGTGGCTCCTGTCTCTGTTCATCATCACCTCCACATCTATAATCCTCCTAGTCTATGCTGACATTATCTTCAGCAACTCTAATGGCTAATGGACAGACGGCTGCTGCTCACTCAGGCCTGCTGGACATGCTAATGAGATGGAGACTAGTGGGCGAGACTTTCCCCCTTTCCCAGAATGCCAATCAAAGTGTTTCTGCGTCATCTCTGTGTGATGGATCTGTGTAATGTTGCTCACGGTTGTGTTCCTCCGCCATGTTCACGAGTGTCTCCATCACGCGGACCCGCTCCTGCACGGCCTGCAGCTCCGCAGCGTTACACACACGCCGGCGCTCCACACTCTTCAGCTGCTCCACCAGCAGCGGCGCCAGCGTGTGGATGAAGGGGACAGAGAGACTGCGGGACGGCTGCTGGAGGATGGAGAGCAGCAGCTGACAGCAGCGCGCCTGAGTCTGCACACACACACACACACACACACACACAGATACACACACACCAAGGTTATAATAGTTTTAGTTTTTGTTTGGTTTTGACTTTTTGTTTTCATATTCAGGCAGTTTTAATCAGTTTATAGAGGCAGACTCGCTAGTTTTATTCCTTTATATATTTTGAAATGGCTTAGTTTTAGTTTAGTTTTTATTCAATTCAGCGTTTGTTTTAGTTTTTTGTGGTTGTAAATGGGGATATTTGTGAGGTGCAGGATTCAAAATCATCAGAATAAATGTTGTATAATAAAATATCAACCACACATTTTATTAAATGTATTCAGAGGACACATGAACACCATCATCTACCATCTACCCATCCTCAAACTCAACGTGAACCAGATCTTATCTGACGATCCTCCCTTCTTAGGACTCAACATGTCAGAAATATGCAGTCAGCAATCCTAATTTCAGTCAGTAAACATCACCATGAGCTGAAAATGGTCTCACTATTATGTTTTACAGCCCAACTGAAGCAGGATTCACTTATTTAAACTCCATTACGACTTTCTGTGATGAATTAAACTTCCGTTTGGCCAGATCCTCTCATTAAGCCCTCGGTTTACCAGCGCTGCAGTTGCTCTGGTTTAGTTCAGTCGCAGCAGGCTGTCATGTGCTGTTTGTGTTCGGTTGACTGAATCATGCATGCGCAGTATTATCAGTTCACCGCTTCTCAAATCTGATTGTACTGTTCTAATAACTGAATAACTCAGTATATATTGGTTTATTTTCAGTCAGAGGGGGGATCAGGCTGTTTAAAAGTAAGTCTTTGTGGATGAGAGTGCTGACCGGAGATGCAAATCGATTTAAACGATTGTTTGATTTGGTGAACTAATTCAACTGGTTCACTTAGAAGATCTGCTTAAAGAACGACGTATAATACAGAAATAAACCCATTATTGGGCACAAATATGTTAAAGTAATCATTTATTTAATGCTGTCAGCGTGCTGCTGTCATGTCCACTCGTTGTTTTTGTCGCGGGAGCAACGGTGAGGATGACTGGAGGAGGACCGGCTTGATCTGGCCAATGGCATTACTAATGCTCATGTATTAAAATACATTTACAAAGACGAAAACAAAGAAGGTTTTAGCTATAATGTTAGTTGAACACAATACAGTTTCAGTCAGGTCTGGTTTATTCAAAACTCTCATGTTTATTTTTATTCCAGTTAACGACAATGTTTTTAAATTTAGTTTTCATTTTTTTTGTTCGTTTCGTTAACTATTACAACCTTGACACGCCTTTAGTTTCCATCCAGAATTTGAGTGTGAGTGCAGTGTTTTGATGTCTGTGCAGCGCTACTGAAGTATTATTTAATCTGAGTGAGTTTATCAGGACCGGTTCTTGTTTCATTCAGTTTTAGTTTATCTTGAATAGTGAAATGACAGAAGGAGGTGTGTGAATGAAGCACGGCTCACCCAGGGGTCAGCAGAGTTGAGAGCGTGTGTGAAGCGCTCGATGCAGCCCTTCTGCAGGACACACACACTCATCAGGTCACCACTGGCCGACAGCAGGAACAGGGTGATGGCGGCCAGAAAACTGACCTCATCTACTGAGTCTGCACCACACAGAGAGAGAGAGAGAGAGATTAAATACGCCGTTCTGCACCATCTGGCAACCTGGGGGATTAAATATAATTGGCTAAACTGACAGTGGGCGGAGCTACAGATCAAAACAAAGACAGACATTCTGACACTGAACACACTCTCAAAGCAGAAGAACTGACAGTAGCAGTGTTTCTCAGATAAACATGTTCACTTAGCATGTGATTGCTTTTGCATTATTTCACATCTGTTATTTTCATTGGACAACTTAGAGCGCTTTCACACCTACACTTTTGTTTGGTCTCGTTTGCCCAGTTAGCGCGGTTCGTTTGGCATATGTGAACAGGGCAATCGCGCTCTGTTCCGCGCCAAAGTAATCGCTCCGAGATTGCTTGAATGAGGTGGTCTCGGCTCGATTGAAACGAACCCTGGACTGGATCGATTGCAGTGAGAAAGCGATCCGATCCGAGCGCGGTTATATCTCAGTGTGTTATGGATATGTAATAGGCTTACGGCTATATGAAGAGAGAATTATGAGTATGGCGGGAAGTTTCGCGAGTCTCCGGATGCCCGCAAACGAGTGATGATCTCCCGGTAATCTCGCGTCTCCCTCCCGGTCCTCAAATAGGCATCGTCGCGCACCCTTCTCACCCTCCCCACCGCATCTCTCCTCAGACACGTCGCGCGCACACCCTGTCAATCACCACCAAACCACCACCTCTCCTGACAGCTGAGCGGGACGCTGCAAAATAAACCCTGACACTCTGACCAATGTGAGGAGAGTTTACTCACACGGGACTTGTTTTAGCTCTTTTGGTCCGATTAGAAACTTTGCCGTGTGAAAGCGAACCGCTCCAAGAGCAAAGAGCAAAACTGTAACAATTGTAATCTCTGTTTCAGAACAACTGAATCCATTCACAGGTGTGAAAGCAGCCTTAATGACCAGAGACAGGTCTCATGACCCTAAGGTTAACTTCACACCTTTCTCTAATTTTCAGGAGGTAAAATATTGACCCTCAAGCATGACCAAATGACCAGAGAAGGCTCTGATGACCTTAAGGTTAACTTTCTAAAACTGCAGGAGGTGGAATATTGACTCTGGATCATCATGCTGACTCTGCAAACCTCAAATTTGTGCTTTGCAATCAGAAATAATGTGCACCTCGCTGAGAGAGAAGGTGGGCCTGACAGCCTAATAGCACGACCTTTGGCCAGTACCCAAATGTTGACTATAAAGGTGAGGCTTTCCTGCTGTAGCACTGGAAGCTCAGCTGTGAGACATCGCCTGACATTCTCAGACACATGTGCTGGTTTTCTATCGTGACTGCAACAGGCTCCCCAGTGCTTGAAGAGCAAAATGATGGCACGTCTCTGAGGTTGTATATGCTTATATCAAATCGCTTGCGGCTTCATTATCTGTCTTTTATTCACGTACTCCTCATCCTTATGTCGCATTATAAGCCTTTTATGCAGTTTTGTTGTATCTTGATTAATGATGTTCATGAGTATGATTCATGATTACACTGCAAAAAATGCTTTTCTTGCTTAGATTTTTGTCTTGTTTCTACTCTAAATATCTAAAATTTCTTATATCAAGAAGCATTTTTTAGACAAGCAAAACATATTGCCTTGTTTTGAGAAATAATATGCCAATATTAAGTCAGTTTTTCCTTGAAACAAGCAAAATAATCTGCCAATGGCGTAAGCAAATTAATCTTGTTTTTTCTTTTGACGTAAGATTATTTTGCTTGTTTTAAGGAAAAACTGACTTAATATTGGCATAATATTTCTCAAAACAAGGCAATATGTTTTGCTTGTTTAGAAAATTCTTCTTGATTTAGGAATTTTTAGATATTTGGACTAGAAACAGGACAAAAACCGAAGTAAGAAAAGCATTTTTTGCAGTGTATTGACTATTATTGTGATGGTTGATATATCAGCTGTGTGGTCAGCAATAAGCAGCTGTATTGCTAGACTAATATGGTGTATGGGTTGATTAGCACCTCACATATCTCACTTGCTTGGGGGATACTAAACACAGAGCAGCTCTAATAAATAAACCACACACACACACACACAGGCTCAGTGCTCTCACCGCTGGGCTGTGAGTCCTCCAGGACGGTGGCCAGACTGCTGCGCACCAGAGCGCTCCACTGTGCGTGTGTGTGTGCTGCTGTTGAGCTCAGGATGGTCTTGATGGCCTGTAGAGCTGCAGAAACCGGCGCTGAAACACTGTTATCCGCAGTCTTCACCGCCGTCTCTCTCAGCACGCCGGTGATCAGGAACAGCACCGTGGGCAGGATGGTCATACTGCCTGCAAACACACCAACAACACTCAAACTAATATAGAGTGCTTCAGATGTTGATACCACACTGCAAACACACAGTTCTTATGTAGAGTTTCTGTCTTGTTCTAGTCCAAATATCTAAAAACTGAAAAATCTAAAAGCATTTTCTGGACAAGCACAACAATATAGTCTTGTTTTCAGAAATAATGAGTCAAAAATAAGCAAGTTTCTCCTTAAAACAAGCAGAATAATTTCAAAATGGAGAAGAGAAATCATCTCAAAACAAAAACCCCACTGGCAGATTATTGTTTTCTATCATGGCTTTACAGTCAATAAAAGTGATTATAATGGAAGTCAATGGAGCGAAAACAGCACCAACATCACCAAAGAGGGTATAAAGCGTGTGTGTACCTGCGGGAGAGCAGAGAGACGGCAGCTCTGCAAGTGCAGTGACGCTGTTGGCCACCAGGCGGCTGCTGTGTTCAGACAGGCTCTGCGGGCTGCGTCTGCAGGTGTCTGTGTTCTTCTCCTTCAGCTGTGGCAGGTGTCGCACCAGGATGAACACCAGCAGCTCCATCGCAGCAAACACCAGAGATTTACCTGGAAGAAGCTCACCGCTGTCTGCTCCCTCCCCGAGCACACACACACCATCCTCATTCACACCGCCCTCTGCAGCTCACACACACAGGTAGAGAGGGAGAGACACACACACACACACACACACACACACACACACACAAACACACACACACACAATCACATGTTGTTTTATTACCACAAAAGTATATTTTCTTTAGTGAAATACTTTGATATAATAATGCTGTGCTGCTGTTTTGCTGGAGCTCATCACATTACCTCACAAAATATGTTCTTTTTTGCTTTGATAACTATTAATAAAGTCATTATAAAATGCTGTTTTCTGCTTCACATAAAGTTTTATTCAGCATCCAGCTATTGGGACCACAGATTTTTTGAAAAACATTAATTTTTAATAACTTTCTTTATAAGAGTATTTTTTGCAGATTGCATGTTATGCTATATCTTTAATTTTGTTTGTGAAAAACAGGACTAAAGGATTGATAGCCCCGCCCTTAAGGACTGATAGCCCTGCCCTAAATGATTGAAAGCCCCGCCCTAAAGGACTGATAGCCCCGCCCTAAAGGACTGATAGCTTCACCCTAAAGGACTGATAGCTCCACCCTAAAGGACTGATAGCTCCGCCCTTAATGACTGATAGCTCCGCCCTAAAGGACTGATAGCTCCCCCCTTAAGGACTGATAGCTCTGCCCTTAAGGACTGTTAGCCCCGCCCTAAAGGACTGAAAGCTCTACCCTAAAGGACTGATAGCTCCACCCTAAAGGATTGATAGCTCCGCCCTAAATGACGGATAGCCCCGCCCTAAATTATTGATAACTCCGCCCTAAAGGACTGATAGCCCCGCCCTAAAGAACTGATATCCACACCCTAAAATACTGACTACCCCGCCCTAAAGGAGGGAGAATAATTCTGACTTCAGCTGTATATGGGTGTGTGTGTGTGTGTGTGTGTCTGTGTGTGTGTGTGTGTGTGTGTGTGTGTGTGTGTGTGTCTGTGTGTGTGTGTCTGTGTGTGTGTGTGTGGGACTCACTGTTGCTCCTGCGCTGCTCCAGATGCTCCTGTGCGGCGTGTATGGTCTTCTGCACCACCGCTGTGACCTGCAGCTGAACACTGGACGGGTCTCGGGTCAGCAGGAGCCGGTGCAGAACATTCAGCAGCTCCACCGCCAGCAGCTGCAACACACACACACACACACACACACACACACACACACACACACACACACACACACACACACACACACACACACACACACACACACACACCACGGTAAGGGCCCATTCATGATAAATTCTCACATCAACCTTTGTGTTGTCTGTAATTCAGTATACAGCCACCTTCACTAAACCTCTGAAATAAGGCAGAAACATTTCATCTCAATCCTTGAAGAAACAAGCTGATCACACACTGAGAATGTTTGGGTTTCCCCTCATCAGTGTGTGTATGTCAGCAGTGGACAACACTCCGCTCTCACTACAGTAAAGAGTGTGTTTTATCATGATATAAGCTCCTGCGGAAGTGGAGAAAGTGTTCAGCAGAACAATATTCATTAAGAGTTAAAGCAGCAGGTCATTAAAGCAGATCCACACACACACACACACACACACACACACACACACACAGACTGACACACACCTGATCTTCAGCGATGTGTGTGCGGGCGATGGGTGAGTCCAGCAGTGTGCAGACGGCCCTCAGACATGACATCACATCCTCTATGGGCTCCTCAGCACGAGGGAAACACAGGAACTCAATGCTGATGCCTGAAACACACACACACACACACACACACACACACACGGGGGTCACACACTGCAAAAACACTTCTTTTACTCAGAGTTTTTGTCCGGTTTCTGGTCCAGAAATGTACAAACTCTTAAATGAGTCAGCATTTTCAACACAAGCACAACACTCTCTCTTATTTTCAGAAATCACCAGTCAAAATGAGGAGAGTTTCTCTTTAAAACAAGCAGAATAATCTGACAATGCAGGAAGAACATAACAATAATAAACCAGAAAAGCCCTCGGTTAGAGCACATGTTCTGCAGTGTGTGTGTGTGTGTGTGTGTGTCTGACCCAGCAGCAGATGCAGTCGGTCCTTCACCAGCTCCTCTGGGTGTTTGGCAGGCTGCACAGCGGCTCCAGAAGCAGCAGAATCTTCAGTGATGCCGAAGCCGGTGCTGCTGAGCCACAGAGCCTCGGCGTGCAGCACTGATGCCCAGGAGCTGCGGTAGTGGAGCCGCGCCGTGTCGATGGTCTCTGGAGTGTAAAACGCTCCTCCTGATCAACACACACACACAACACAACATCAGCACCTCATAATCAAGGGGAGACTGTAGGGTGGGCGGCACGGTGGCGCAGTGGTTAGCACTGTCGCCTCACAGCAAGAAGGTCTCTGGTTTGAGCCTCAGCATGGTCAGTTGGTGTTTCTGTGTGGAGTTTGCATGTTCTCCCCGTGTTGGTGTGGGTTTCCTCCGGGTGCTCCGGTTTCCCCCACAGTCCAAACACATGCGCTATAGGGGAACTGATCAACTAAATTAAAGTGTATGAGTGTGTATGGGTGTTTTCCAGTGATGGGTTGCAGGTGGAAGGGCAACCGCTGTGTAAAACATATGCTGGAATAGTTGGCGGTTCATTCCGCTGTGGCCACCCTTGACGAATAAAGGGACTCAGCTGAAGGAATTTGAATGACTGCAGGGTTTTTACAATCAGTCATTTAAAGGGACAGTACACCCGAAAGTGACGGTGTAATGCTGCAGTGTTTTACCGTCGGCCGGCAGCTGGCTGGAGAACTCCGCTGGCAGGGTGAGCAGGGCATAATCCCGCAGCAGCTCCAGCCACAGGCGACTGAGGGACGGCAGCTCCGGCTGGACCAGAACCATCAGACTGTCTGGAGGAAGAACATCTGCAGCTTCATCTTCATCCTCATCCTCACCGGCTGGAGGACGCACCGGCCGCGCCCGCGACTCCTGCTTAATGTCCATCGCCACCACAAACACCTGAAGCACAGACAGAGCCAGGTCAAGAAACACGGCTGCGTTTCCACTGCAGATCCTGATAGTCAGTTCTGATTTTGTGACTGTATCTGATTGTTTTGCTGACCTGCTTACATCATCTTTTAAAAGAGACTCGTATCCGATCGTCTGCATTTACACCGCACACAGCAAACGCACAATGACCAGGAAAAAAAGAGCGTGCGCTGACTAACAGCTGATAATGAAAGAGTGCTCTTTTCTCTACTCCTCTATGCAATCTGTTCGACAGATAGCCCCGCCCTAAAGATTGAAAGTCCCGCCCTAAAGGACTGATAGCCCCACCCTAAAGGACAGATTGATCTACCCTAAAGGACTGATAGCACTGCCCTTAAAAAATTGATAGCCCCGCCCTAAAGGAGTGATAGCCCCGCCCTAAAAGACTGATTGCCCCACCTGGATGGTCTGGATGGTCAGTTCTGATTTTGTGACTGTATCTGGTTGTTTTTGTGACCTGCTTACATCATCTTTTAAAGGTGACTCGTATCCGATCGTCTGCATTTACACCCCACACAGCAAACACACAATGACCAGGAAAAACAGCTGATAATGAACATACTATAGTTCATGACAGAAAGCTGCTCATTTGTCCATCTTCTTTTGATAATTCAGCTTTATCAAACCTTTAAGCATCTTAATGCAATGTCCATGCCGTGATTTATGCACGTGATGTAGCTATGCACTAGTTTTATATTAGTTTATCTTGGTGGACATTGCGCTCTCTCGCTCTCGTAAATACCTGTGCTATATGACAATATAAAGCTGTTTCAGTCCTCATGTATGAGATTTAAGGTTTAGGGCTCTGCTGAAGTCTGTTCTGAAGTGAAAGTGTCAGAGTTGACATCATTTGCGATGGTTTTTTATGATGCGCGACATTGACAGGTGAAAATCTGATCTACCTGCTTACACTGCAGACACCAGAACACAGATCCCATTCATATCAGATACATTTCCACATATGAACAAGGCCTGAATCTGATTGGAGTCAATCTGAATCCATGTGATTTGTTCCTGCTTACACGTACATGGGCCATACTCCATCTGTGCCACATGAACAGTGCAGTGTAAACGCGGTCCTACATGCACAGCACAACTCACAGTTACGAAATCCAACTCGCAAATTCAAAACACAATTTAAGAATCTACAAGTAAATGAGCATTATTAATTGCACAAATGAACTGCATTTGTGTATTTATGAATCGCATTTTGACTTTACAAATTGGATTTGCTAATTTATTAATTGTGTTTTTTACTAATGGTGTTTTGTTTGCTGTGCACGTATGACTTTGTAAATGCATTAAGTTTGAGACCTCTCTGTCTCCATGAAACATGATGCTAACACTTGCTGATTTACTGAACAAGGAGCAGAAAATCCTGCAAAATGCTTGAATTTTAATCTCACTGCAATAAAAAATGAGTTTGTCTTGTTTCTGGTCCAAAAGGTTTTAATTCAAGAAGCAGTTTCTAGAAAAGTGCATAATATAGTGTTGCTTTCAGAAATAATGAGTTAAAATGAAGAGAGTTTTTCCTTAAAACAAGCAAAATTATCTGACACTGGAGGAAGAGAAATCATCTTATGTTAAAAGGAGAAACTAAATTATTTTTATTCCTCCAGTGACAGAATATTCTGCTTGTTTTAAATAAAAACTCTCTTCATTTTGACTCATTACTGAACAACAACACTATTGTTTTTACTTGTCTAGAAAATGCTTCTTGCTTTAAGAGTTTTGAAATATTTGGACTAGAAACAAGACACAAATCTAAGTAAGGAAAGTATTCTTTGCAGTTAAATGCCAACTTGTATGCAATGTCCACTTTTTATGTACTAAGAGATGCATCGCTTTAAAAAGTGTACACATAAAAACACTGTTAGGCAATAACTGCTTTGGGATTAAATCCTTCTGTCTCTAAAGATGAACTCTTATTCTAATGAATATGCCTGCTTAATAAAACTGCATAATGGCATTTAAACAAAACAATGTTTTGCATCTAAATATCTTCCTGTGTGTGTGAGTGTGAAAATGAAATGTCAGAAAGCATTTGAGTGACTCTTCATTTCTGGCTGATCTGCAGCTTTATTTCTCCGTGTTCTGCAGTGTTTACAGTGCTGTACCTCCGCCCAGGCCTTCAGCACTGCCAGTTTCTCCATGGTGGTGGCGCTCTCGCTGTACAGCTGGCTGGAGCTGCTCTTCCCTGTCTGCACTTTATCCAGAGACGACACCAGCAGGTTGTGCACACGCCGCAGGTCATTCAGGTCACTGACCACACCGCTGCCGATCCACGCACTGCACACCTAAACACACACACACGCACGCACGCGTTTGTTTTTGCAAATTGTTTGTTTTTCTGAAATGCCTCTGGTTTTAAACTCTACACACTGTGTTTTCTATTGCCCTACACCTGAACCTTTCCCTTACAGCACAGCACTCCAAAGCTTTATTATTACACGATTATTAGCAATACTGATACTGTGCACTGTGTGTTCTGTGTTATTGTTATAGCTGTCATACTATTCCATGCGTTCCTTTGCTTATACACTTTTACACCAAACACACAAGCACACACAAAAATCTTGTATGCTATACTGACCTTTTTATTTTGCATTTGATTTGTCACTTGTAAATTATATATCTCACAGCATAATAATAATAATAATAATAATAATAATAATAATAAAAATATTAATAGTGATAATAATAATAATAAAATAATAATAATAATAACAATAATAATAGTAATAAAAATATAAGTAATAATAATAACAATAATATTAGCAGTGATAATAATAATAGTAATAATATTAGTAATAATAATAATAATAATATTAGTAGTGATAATAATAATAATAATAATATTATTAGTAATAAAAATATTAGTAGTGATAATAATAATATTATTAATAATAATAATAATAATAATAATAATAATAATAATATTCGTAATAAAAATATTAGTAATAATAATAATATTAGCAGTGAAAATAATAATAATAATAATAATAATAATAATAATAGTAATAATAATATTAATAATAATAATAATATTCGTAATAAAAATATTAGTAATAATAACTATTTTAGCAGTGATAATAATAATAATTATTATTATTATTATATTAGTAATAGTAATATTAGTAATAATAAAAATAATATTAGTAGTGATAATAATAATAATAATAATAATAATAATAATAATAATAATGATAAATATTGAGTTTCCTTATCTTTGGGGAGAATAAATCAATAATGCAAAATTTAAAAAAAAAGGTAAACATTTTATATTTGACTCCAAATTTTATTTACTTTTAAAAGATTACTGAGATGTTTAAATGATGATCTTTCAATATATTTAGCAGTGTGAAGCAGAAGACTGAATGTGTGATTGCTCAGAGGTTTACCTGACAGGCTTTAGCAGTGATGTCTGAAGGTGTGTCTGGCGAAAATGCAGGACGCAGAGCAGCGCCAACCTGTGGAGGAACACGAGAAGAGCAGCAGCGTCAGACAGTGCAGAAGATGACACTCAAACTCGAGAAAAAGACGTGTGTTTGGTGAATAATGCTGCCAGTATTACAGCTCTTTCACACCCCATGTGTTAAGCTAGAAACTAGCTATATTTATAATCATTATTATACAAATATAGTTACAATAACAACATTTAAACATAATCAATATAGAAGTGATTTCTGTGTATGAATGCACTGACGTTGGCCTGGTACTGCTCCAGAATGACGTGAGATGGAAACTCTGGGTCTGGAACAGCAGCGAACTTCTTAATGATGTCCTCCAGCGCCTGCAGGCCGGCCATGCGCAGCTGGTTACTGTGGTCGGTCGCCGCCATGAAGGCCATGCGGATTAGATCACACAGATGCAGGACCAGGAAATCCGCTGTGGAGAAACAACAACAGCGGCGTTCACATCTAGACCACTGAGATCCACATCAGACACGCTATAAGAGCGTTCACACACAAAACACACACACGCACACACACACACACTCACACACGCACACGCACACTCACACACGCACACACACACGCACACGTCTCCATTACACTGCAGCAGCTCTCCACTGTGTTTCTCTATGTAAACCGCTGGATATTACCGCTGTGTGTGTGTATGATTGTCTTTGTGTGTATGAGTGTGTGTGCATCTCTAATTGTGTGTGTGTGTGTGTGTGTGTGTGTGTATGATCCGCTCACCCTCAGGGTTTTTGATCTTGGCGATGCGCGCCTCTGCCAGATGGAAGTGGGCGTGGTCAGCGTTCTCACACAGGTGTATGATGCGGCACAGACACTCGGCTGCGAACACACGCGTGACCCAACGAGGAGCGACCGTCGCTTTCATCTTCTCATCCTGACCCAGAGACGTGAACATGATGTCATCGTCCATCTCATCCTTCTTCTCTGAGTCTTCATCATCATCCTTCCTTCTGCTGTCAGACGCCACGGCTCCGCCCACCTCTGACACACACACACACACATATATATATTTATTCATACATATATATATATATATATATACACACCCTTTTAAATATACATACACACATATATTCATAAACACACACACAGACACACACAGCCAGAAACATGCGCACACACACACACACACAGACACACACTAACTAAATGAATGGAGTTGCACTAAGAGGACGGCTCGTACCTGTGGTAGCTGCTAGCACGTCTTTGCAGAGCTTCAGCCAATGAGAGAGCTTCTCCACTGCCAGAGACGACAGCATGTGACCCAGCGTGTCGTGAATGTCGGAGCACAACTTCCTGTCAGTCTCGCGGTCCAGCATCCCGAAGAGAACGCCCTCCAGACCCGTCTCCGTGATGTTCAGATCTGACCAACACACAGCAATCAGTTATATTGCGTGTGTGTTTGTGTGTGCATGTTGTACTAGTGGTGCTGGGTGTGTGTGTGTGTGTGTGTGTGTGTCGTACTGGTGGTGCTGTTGTCTTTGGTGTCTCCGGCGCGGCGGGCGAGACTCATGGCGTATTCACACACCTCTGCAGCTTCTCTTTGCGCCATCTGTCTGAGACACGCCACTGCAGCGCGCCGTAACAACAGGTGAGAGCTGCACAGGTGTACCTGTACACACACACACACACTTTACATCAAGCAAAGCAAAACATGCTCAAAGAACTTTACTGAGAGTGTAATGGAGTTATTTATAGACCAATGCCACTCTCCTCTATTGAACTCTCTTTTCTTTTTGGAAAAAACATACAAACACAAACACACACACACACATATATATATATGTACATACAAACATTTACACATGCAGACGTTCAGTGTAAATGCAGACATGCAGTTAAATGCAGTATAAATGCAGATTTGCATTGTAAATGTAGTTTAAATGCAGTGTAAATGCAGATGTGCAGTGTAAATCCAGTTTTAATGTGGATATGCAGTGTAAATGCAGCTTAAAATGCGGCTGTGCAGTGTAAATCCAGTTTAAATGCAGTGCAAATGCAGATATGCAGTTTAAATCCAGTTTTAATGCAGATATGCAGTGTAAATCCAGTTTAAATGCAGATGTGCAGTGTAAATACAGTGCAAATGTAGAGATGCAGTGTGAATCCAGTTTAAATGCGGATGTGCAGTGTAAATCCAGTTTAAATCCAGTTTTAATGCAGATATGCAGTGTAAATCCAGTTTAAATGCAGATGTGCAGTGTAAATCCAGTTTAAATGCAGATGTGCAGTGTAAACACAGTGTAAATGCAGATGTGCAGTGTTAATCCAGTTTAAATGCAGATGTGCAGTGTAAATACAGTGCAAATGTAGAGATGTAGTGTGAATCCAGTTTAAATGCGGAAGTGCAGTGTAAATCCAGTTTAAATCCAGTTTTAATGCAGATGTGCAGTGTAAATACAGTGCAAATGTAGAGATGCAGTGTGAATCCAATTTAAATGCGGATGTGCAGTGTAAATCCAGTTTAAATCCAGTTTTAATGCAGATGTGCAGTGTAAATCCAGTTTAAATGCAGATGTGCAGTGTAAATCCAGTTTAAATGCAGATGTGCAGTGTAAATCCAGTTTAAATGCAGATGTGCAGTGTAAATCCAGTTTAAATGCAGATGTGCAGTGTAAACACAGTTTAAATGCAGATGTGCAGTGTAAATCCAGTTTAAATGCAGATGTGCAGTGTAAATCCAGTTTAAATGCAGATGTGCAGTGTAAATCCAGTTTAAATGCAGATGTGCAGTGTAAATCCAGTTTAAATGCAGATGTGCAGTGTAAATCCAGTTTTAATGCAGATGTGCAGTGTAAATCCAGTTTAAATGCAGATGTGCAGTGTAAATCCAGTTTAAATGCAGATGTGCAGTGTAAATCCAGTTTAAATGCAGATGTGCAGTGTAAATCCAGTTTAAATGCAGATGTGCAGTGTAAATCCAGTTTTAATGCAGATGTGCAGTGTAAATCCAGTTTAAATGCAGATGTGCAGTGTAAATGCAGCTTAAAATATGAATGTGCAGAGAAAATACAGTGTAAATGTAGAGATGCAGTGTGAATCCAGTTTAAATGCAGTGTAAAAGCAGACGTGCAGTGTAAACACAGAGCTCTTACACAGAGGCTGGGCACCAGGCTGGACAGGTTGACGTGGCGCGGGGCAAACATGTGCAGCTGCTGCAGGCAGGAGATAGCGGCCGCTTGAACCAGAGAGTCTGAGTGATCCTGCATGATGGCGCAGCCCACCAGACATGACGAGCGGATCGTTGAGATGCTCACACTGTTACCTGAAGAGAAAACCAGCTGAGGAAAATGCTTTCAAAACTAAGCAGAAGAGATCTAACCAAACAGACAGTTTAATTCAGCTGGTGGAGATGTGTCAGGGCTGGTCGTTTACCCTGTAGCTCTGGGCCAACGGTGGTGATGAGTGCTCCAAGGCAGCGGCCCAGACACTGGTGCACCTCAGTGTGTGACGGCGGAACGGTCAGCAGCAGCGTCAGCACCAGAGACAGTGTGGGCTCCACATAACCACGGTACATCGGCCCGCTGGAGTCCACGATCAGCGCCAGAGAGTGCAGAGCCCACGTCTGAAACACAGCAGCCAATCACAGTCAACATCTCAGTAAACCAGCTTCATCAGCGGCTCATCCTGCTGGTGCTCACCTGGACTTCATGACACGTGGCGTCCTGAGCTAAGGCTAGCAGTATGCTAACGCTAGTCTTGAGATGCTGACCGGAGCCGATGCCGCCAACATAACGGTGCAGGCATCCTAAAGCCAGAGAGTGACCCGTTCTGGACACGACATCACGCGCTGACTTCAGCCTGCGCACAACACACATTCAAGCACATAACACACAACCAGTAACGTCACACAATTCTGTCTTCAGTCAAAGCAACTCTACTTTAAAGTTACAATAACAGAGCTTTTGCCCGTTCAGGGCGGCACTGAATCTGTATATCCAGCATTTTGCTCTGAGCAGACGGCTGGCTGAGAAATGCTCCTGTTTGAACTCTTTGAGTTGAATCATTGATCTTCTGAACTGCTGTGATGGAGATGCCGGCAGTGTGAACTAATTGAAATGAATCACTTAATGTTCAAACTGTGTGAATTGAATCTTTGAATGTTTGTAATGTTTGAAGTAATGAAGTCACATGTGAGTGTTTATTTTACACTGTTTTCACTGGGATTTCACACTCACAGGATTTACATAAGAACCAAGAAACACTGGTGTCTGAGGCTCACAGTATGGCCATTTCCATTTTAGGTTCCAGTTTGACAGAGTTTGCAAACTCAGGAAGCCTTCTCATGATCAGTTGTGTTGTTGTTTATGATCTCACACACTTGTCAAAGCTGTGCTGTGCCATGCGGGCGATGAAGGACGCCTCTCCCACCACCTGCGCCATGCGGCCCAGAGCCTCCCCAGCGGCGCAGCGCAGAATAGGATTGGAGTTATCCAGAGCCCCCATCACCAGAGCCAGAGCAGACTTACGCACCTCCTCCAGACCCAGACTGCTCTTGTTCTCCGCCAGACCCTGAACACAACACAGCAACACACACATCAGCATTCACCAGCAGTACTGGGGTGTAATGATATGCTCAAGTCCTGATTTGATACGTTTCTCAATATTAAACACACAATTTGATATTATATCAATATTGCATGCAATAAAAATGATTGATTTAATATTAATTTTCTCCAACATGTCAATAAAACAGTGTTAATATTATAATATAATAATAATAATTCATTCATTCATAATGTAAGCTAATTAATTATATAAATCAAGTAAAATATTGTGAAAAGGATGAAAAAATGTGGTTTTTATTCAATATATACACAGCAGTAGAGTGTGCCTATATATATGGTCACTAACTGAAATGGAAACTGATTGCCATCTGGTGGTCATGTCTGGTACTGCACCAAAATAAACTTACTAAAAGATTTTAACTTTGGAATATAATGATCAAATTTGGCTCCTGATTATACACCTGGTATATATTTATGAAGCAAAATGATCACTGTGCAACATACTAAACATTTTAACAATTTAGTTATTTGTTATTAAAATCTCTAGCATTTTCTCTGTGGTAAACAAACATGGCTGTGTCAGCTCACATGTTATTTTGTGGCCATGAAAAGTCATTATGCAGTCTAGTATGGAAAAAAATAAACATGTTTGTGTGAATTACACCTTATAAATACCGTAAGCAGACTCTTGGATAAAAACAAGCTCAATAAATGTATCATATCATATTTACATCAGCAATATGCATCTAGGAATTTTCTTTTTTGCAATGTATTATTAAACCCCTAATCATTATTAGAGACTCAACAGCTCCAGTACAGGGTTATGAAGCACAGATGTAGACCTTGAGCGCGCTCAGCACCGCAGTGAAGATGTTGAGCTGCACCGCCTGCTGCCGCACGCCTTTAGCCTGCTTAATGCATTCAGCGAAGTGATCCAGCATCTGCAACCTGGAGGACACAGCACACAGAACACACATAAACCACAGACAATGATCTCAAATACAAAGTCAAAGTCAAAGTCAGCTTTATTGTCAATTCAGCCACATGTACAAGACATACAGAGAATCGAAATTGCGTTACTCTCAGACCCAAGGTGCTTAACATTAATATAAAATGTCTTCAAGTCTACAGTCTTCAATTTGAAGAGTGCTGTAACATCTAACGCCTACAGTATTTGCTTTTCCTACAATGTACACAAGTTTCTAACATTTTTCTAAATATCTCATTTTGTGTTCAGAAAGAAAACCCTTGAAGAAGAGCAAACAGTTTGCAAATGTTCATTTGTGCATGAATTATCCCTGAAAAGGGTTATAAAATCAGGGGTGGCCAAAGTCGGTCCAGAAGGGTCTGCAGACTTCAGCTGCAACAGTAATCAAACACACCCGTTTGTTGTATTAAAAGGCCTCTGAAGGCACTTTTGATGAGTTTACTGTAGTTTTCTGAGATGCTGATACCTGTGTTTGAAAGACACATGAGGAAAGACGACTCCGAACAGAGCGACAGATGCGTCGATGACGGAAACGCCGAGCGGCAGCGGTCCGGGAACAGCCTCCACTGCAGGAACACGCAGGTAGATGGAGGACGGGTCGTGTTCCAGAGCGCCGCTGCCAGACGCACTGTTGGGCTGCAGCTGCACACACACACACACACACAGACACACTTTACTACAGGCAACACAGTGTGTCATCATGAACAACTATCAGAATATACACATATAGCGCTGTTACCTGGTCCTCGATGGACTTATGGTCAGTCTCCTGCAGCCAGGAGCCCATCAGCACACTGTCATCATAATGGCAGAGCGAGCGCAGCAGGGATGTGGTGGTGTTGGCAGAGTTATCTGTGAGTGTGAATTCTGCCACCAGCTCCCGCAGCAGAGCATTAAAACTGCCTGAAATCACAAAGAAGCAGCTCCTGATCTTCAGCATGTAGATATATATATTAATATTCAATAATTTAACGTATCATGATGATGAACCTGCACAATACTGATATCAGGGGGCGTAAAAACACCATAAAGAATCTGAACTATTCTCTTTTATTAAAGTTATTTAGACTAGAAACGAGACCAAAACTCTAAAGTAAGTAAAGCATTTTCTAATAAAGCGTTCTGTCACTCACTGAGACATCATGGTCATGGCGCACTCGATTGGCGTCATCAGTCTGCGGATCACATCCTCCGTCAGCAGCTCTGGCGCTCTAGGCTAGTTTATAACAGCAGATGGCGCTCTAGGCTAGTTTATAACAGCAGATGGCGCTCTAGGCTAGTTTATAACAGCAGACGGCGCTCTAGGCTAGTTTATAACAGCAGATGGCGCTCTAGGCTAGTTTATAACAACAGACAGCGCTCTGGGCTAGTTTATAACAGCAGACGACGCTCTAAGCTAGTTTATAACAGCAGTTGGCACTCTAGGCTAGTTTATAACAGCAGTTGGCACTCTAGGCTAGTTTATAACAACAGACAGCGCTCTAGGCTAGTTTATAACAGCAGACGACGCTCTAGGCTAGTATATAACAGCAGATGACGCTCTAGGCTAGTTTATAACAGCAGACGACGCTCTAGGCTAGTTTATAACAGCAGAAGGCGCTCTAGGCTAGTTTATAACAGCAGAAGGCGCTCTAGGCTAGTTTATAACAACAGACAGCGCTCTGGGCTAGTTTATAACAGCAGACGACGCTCTAAGCTAGTTTATAACAGCAGTTGGCACTCTAGGCTAGTTTATAACAACAGATGGTGCTCTAGGCTAGTTTATAACAACAGACAGCGCTCTAGGCTAGTTTATAACAGCAGACGACGCTCTAGGCTAGTATATAACAGCAGATGACGCTCTAGGCTAGTTTATAACAGCAGACGACGCTCTAGGCTAGTTTATAACAGCAGAAGGCGCTCTAGGCTAGTTTATAACAGCAGACGGCGCTCTAGGCTAGTATATAACAGCAGACGGCGCTCTAGGCTAGTTTATAACAGTAGATGGCGCTCTAGGCTAGAATATAACAGCAGACGGCGCTCTAGGCTAGTTTATAACAGTAGATGGCGCTCTAGGCTAGTTTATAACAGCAGACGGCGCTCTAGGCTAGTTTATAACAGCAGACGGCGCTCTAGGCTAGTTTATAACAGCAGACGGTGCTCTAGGCTAGTGTATAACAGCAGATGGCGCTCTAGGCTAGTTTATAACAGTAGATGGCGCTCTAGGCTAGAATATAACAGCAGATGGCGCTCTAGGCTAGTGTATAACAGCAGACGGCGCTCTAGGCTAGTTTATAACAGCAGACGGCGCTCTAGGCTAGTTTATAACAGCAGACGGCGCTCTAGGCTCTTTTCTCTTTTATTAAAGAGAATTTCCTGTAAAGTGTTACCCCTTATGCACTTTATAATCCTTTTGCCATTTTTTATTAGCCTGAAACATCTGTTTACTCTGAACATTCATTCATTCATTCAGTCATTTTCTTGTTGGCTTAGTCCCTTTATTAATCCAGGGTTACCATAGTGGAATGAACAGCAAACTAACCAGCATGTTTTACGCAGCGGATGCCCTTCCAGCCGCAACCCATCTCTGGGAAATACTCTGAACATGCGTTTTATTATAATTTGTAAGCATTAATAGTTATTAAAACTAGTTTTATTGCAGCTAATATTGCTATAATACTGTAATAAAAGCTTCAACAATAATCACAATAACATGTGACACCATTATAAGCGTGCTGGACTCGCCTTCATATGTTTTTGGTGGCAGCAGAGCGAGTATATCATACAGTCTGAGTCGGACCATGGCGGCGCTGGCCTTCAGATGAGCCCCGTGAACCTTTATCACTGCAGGGATACTGAGAAATAACACACACACGGGCAAACATCAATTGATATTTAGACTAGAAACGAGACCAAAACTCTAAAGTAAGTAAAGCATTTTCTGATAAAGCGTTCCGTCACTCACTGAGACATCATGGTCATGGCGCACTCGATGGGCGTCATCAGTCTGCGGATCACATCCTCCGTCAGCAGCTCCGGACAATGAGCCACAAAACTGCGCATGGCTGAGAAGAACAGGAGAAATAACAATTGTGTATATACACATAGACATATATACACATACAGCACATGCATACATACAAACAGGCATGCGACGACAACTGATTTCAAGGTCTAACACAGTTTGGAAACGTCTAGGTTTTTTTACCCAGACATATGAAAAAGAATTGTAAAGCAGTGATCACCATACTGGGACATTAGGTTATCATACCATCAGAAAAAAGACCCATGCCATACATACACAATATACACAGATACATAAAATACACATACTTCACACAATATAATGTAAGCATTATTGTTTACAGAGTGAGGATATGAGTGTTTTACCACACAAGGCTCCAGCGCGGCCCTCCAGCATCACCTGCCAGCTGAAGGAATCTCCTCTCGCCTTCTCGGCCTCCAGCTCCTTCTGGGAACGCGGAAACACATTACGCCACAGCAGCAGCATCTTCGGCAGGTGATAGCGCACCAGAGACGGCCCTGAACACACACACACACACACACAAACATAAACATACACACACACACACACACACACATCAACAACAGCGCCGCTTACAGATTCCTCAAAATATACCTTAGTGATTTATCAATGCATTGTGGATCTTTTCTTTCAGCAGACGGCGCTCTGGGCTAGTTTATAACAGCAGACGGCGCTCTAGGCTAGTTTATAACAGCAGATGGCGCTCTAGGCTAGTTTATAACAGCAGACGGTGCTCTAGGCTAGTTTATAACAGCAGACAGCGCTCTAGGCTAGTTTATAACAGCAGACGGCGCTCTAGGCTAGTTTATAACAAATGGCGCTCTAGGATAGTTTATAACAAAAGCTGGCGCTCTAGGCTGGCGCTCTAGGCTAGTTTATAACAGCAGATGGCGCTCTAAACTAGTTTATAACAGCAGATGGCGCTAGTTTATAACAGCAGACAGCGCTCTAGGCTAGTTTATAACAGCAGACGGTGCTCTAGGCTAGTTTATAACAGCAGATGGCGCTCTAGGCTAGATTTATAACAGCAGATGGCGCTCTTGGCTAGTTTATAACAGCAGATGGCGCTCTAGGCTAGTTTATAACAGCAGACAGCGCTCTAGGCTAGTTTATAACAGCAGACGGCGCTCTAGGCTAGTTTATAACAGCAGATGGCGCTCTAGGCTAGTTTATAACAGCAGACGGCGCTCTAGGCTAGTTTATAACAGCAGACGGCGCTCTAGGCTAGAGTATAACAGCAGACGGCGCTCTAGGCTAGTTAATAACAGCTGACGGCGCTCTAGGCTAGTTTATAACAGCAGATGGCACTCTAGGCTAGTTTATAACAGCAGATGGCGCTCTAGGCTAGTGTTTAACAGCAGATGGCGCTCTAGGCTAGTTTATAACAGCAGATGGCGCTCTAGGCTAGTGTTTAACAGCAGATGGCGCTCTAGGCTAGTTTATAACAGCAGACGGCGCTCTAGGCTAGTGTTTAACAGCAGATGGCGCTCTAGGCTAGTTTATAACAATAGACGGCGCTCTAGGCTAGTCTATAACAGCAGATGGCGCTCTAGGCTAGTTTACAACAGCAGATGGCGCTCTAGGCTAGTTTATAACAGTAGATAGTAGTGTAGTGTGTGTTCATGGTCAGATGTGTAGTGTGTGTAAGTAAGCGCAGATGTTGATGTAGCGTGTCTGACCTAGAGTCATGAGTGCTCCGAGCAGCAGCCATCCAGCCTGCGTGCGCTGCAGAGACAGACGACTGTTCTGAGCCGCAGAGCGCAGCAGATCCTCAGCTATACTCACCACCATCTGAAAACACACACACACACACACACACACACACTTATGAATCACACCAAGACCTGTGTGTGTGTGTGTGTGTGTATGTGTTTATGTGTGTGTGTGTATGTAAGGGGGTGCGTATGTGTGTGTGTCTGACCTTCCCCTTGGAGTGTGGTACCCCCAGTGGGCACTGGTGAACGCCCCCCAGCAGAGCCGCCATGGCGAAGCTGTACCCGCTGACGGCTTCCGGAGAGTTCTTGAGTGTGTTGATGCAGTCGGCGCAGCGCTCCAGCAGCGGCGTCAGCTGATGAGGCAGAGCCACACACACACACCGCAGACACCAGGCCGCAGCCAGACGTGCAGCCATGCTGGGGTGCAGCAGCACGGACAGCACCGTCTCCAGAAGACCTGGAGCAGATAAACAGCATTACTACACACAGCTGGAATACTCCATTCTGATTGGTCAACCAGGTGACATGCTGTTGTAATATTATTTGCAACAACAGGGGGCGACTCAATGTAACTGCCATGATAAACCAGTGGTGTGTGTGTGTGTGTGTGTGTGTGTGTGTGTGTCACCTATAGACGGCTCCTGTATGAGTGGTGAGGCGGTGGCGCTCAGGCTCTGCACCAGTCTGCCCAGCTCCTTCAGTGCACACACCATCACATGCTGACTGGCCGACACGTCTGCGGCACCGGTGCGGTTCTCACTGCTCTGCTCATTCACTACTGCCTCTGTCACACACAACAACACTGCCATTACACACTCTGGAAACACTCTACATCACAGTCAGGACACACACAAACCTGCACATGTTTGCAAACACACACACACACACACACACAGAGAGGTATTTTAGACACCTTTATTTGATGTTTGGACTAGAAACGAGATAGAAACTCTAAATTAAGAGCGCCTTCATTACAGTGAGGAGTGTCAGAGAATAGTGCAGCAGCTCAGAGCGAGAGCAGTGAGGGATTGTGGGTAATGTAGTCCATCTTACCCACGGCTCTCATCTGTTTGCTGATGGCCAGGCAGATCTCCTTTGCGGCTGCGATCTGAGCTTTCTCTCCCAGCAGGCCGCCCAGAGTCGCCCTTAGAGCGAAGGAGACGCAGCGGCGGGAATACACTGCCTCCACGTGCGTCTGTGTGGCGCGAGGGTGAGCCACCAGCTCCAGCAGATGAGACAGAAACACTGCGAAGTTACGCTCCAGCCACTGCCCACCCAGAACTGTCACAAACACTACATACGCCTACAGGAGAGAGAGACACACACACACACACACACACACACACACACAAATCGATGAAAAACCTATTACACCTCTTTCTACAAGCTGTAAATGCGTCTCTGCTGTCTCTCTAGTGTGTGTGTGTGTGTGAGTTTGAGCTGAGAATAGACACAGATCATGTCCTCCAGCTCTCTGAAACTGACCCTTTCAGTATTTGATCCTTAACTGTGGTGTTTGGTGACTGTCGCTTTAAATGCAAATGAGATTGAGCTCTTTTCAGAAGAGGGCGGAGCTACAGATGCACATGCATGACAGATATGAAGCAGCAGAGTGTGTGTTGTGAGTGCAGGTCAGGTGTGTGTGTGCGCTTCAGTGTGAGTGTGTGTTGATGCTTCTGTCAGTCTATATGTCTCCTGTCTCTGTTCATCATCACCTCCACATCTATAATCCTCTTAGTCTATGCTGACATCATCTTCAGCAGCTCAAACACTCTAATGGCTAATGGACAGACGGCTGCTTCTCACCTGTGTGACCCCGACCCGCACCTCCCGGCTGACCGACGCCCCCTTCAGCATTTCTCCGCCGCTCTTCAGGAATCCGGATCCTCCGCGGAGGAAACCAGTGGCCATCAGCTCCAGCACTTCCTCCAGAGTCGCCCGCTTCACGTTCTGCCGCATCACTGAAAGCACCAACACACACACACACATCTGCATTTACACCGGTAAACACTCTCTCTGCACATGAAGCGTCCAGATTTGGGCTGCAATTCACAATTATTTTAATAATCAAATAGTTGGTTGATTATTCATTCATTCATTTTCTTTTCATCTTAGTCCCTTTATTAATCAGGGGTCAACACAGCGGAATGAACCAACAACTAATCCAGCATATGTTTCATGCAGCAGATGCCCTTCCAGCTGCAACCCATCACTGGGAAACATCTATACACTCTCATACACTACGGCCAGTGTAGTTGATCAGTTCCCCTATAGCGCATGTGTTTGGACTGTGGGGGAAACCGGAGCACCCGGTGGAAACCCACACCAACACGGGGAGAACATGCAAACTCCACACAGAAACACCAACTGACCCAGCCGAGACTTAAACCAGTGACCTTCTTGCTGTGAGACGATTGTGATACTTAACGTGACACCCGTAAACCTTTTCTAAATATCTAAAAACTAATATACAAAATGTTGCACTCCTATTATTTTTACAATATGAAATAAGGACATTAATGAGCTGACAATAGGATAATATGCAGCAGAATTTGTTGAGATATCAATATTATGGATAATAAATAAATTATCCATAAACAACAAAAATGTATTTTTGAATATTATCTGTCAAAGATGTAAGCGAAATAATCTCGTTTTAAAATTCATGAGGAACTCATTTACTTTTGACTCATTATTTCTGAAAGCAAGAGAATGCTTTGCACTGGTCTATTAAATGCTTCTTGATTTAAGAATTCTTAGATATTTGGAGTAGAAACAACAGACAAACTCTAAGTAAAGGCATTTTTGTGTGCGTATGAGTGTGTGTGTCTCACCGGTGGCCTGTTTGGGCATCAGCGCTGTGGCCATGACAGTTCCCAGCAGTGTGGAAACAGCAACTCGCACATCATACGTGGATCCTTCCAGAGCTTTAAAGCACAGCGTGGCCACATTCTCCAGCTCAGTGGTCCAGATGAACACAGCCTCGTTCTGCAGCTCCAACAAACACTGCGAAAACACACACACACACACACACACACACACAAACAACTATCAACACCACCAATATGATGACACTGAATGTGCTCATAATTAACATGCACTATATTAATATCATGACCACTTCAAAATAATAATAATAATATAAAATATAATAATAATGTTTACTCAAACCATTAGAGTGCTTTTAAAAAAAATCACAAATACTAAAATGCTATAAGAACATGTAATATAATGATTGTATATAAATATGTATGTATGTGTGTGTGTGTGTGTGTGTGTGTGTGTGTGTGTGTACAATAGATGGGTGAACATTAAAGGGAATGCATGTATATCTAATGACATGATGTAAAACAGATTAATAATGCGCATAATATAATGTTTAGACATCAACACTGGGAGAACATGCAAACTCCACACTGAAACACCAACTATTCCAGCCAGGACTTGAACCAGTGACCTTGTTGCTGTGAGGCCACAGTGCGACACCACTGATCCACCGTGCCGCCCTCATTTATTATTATTCATTCATTCATTTTCTTTTCGGCTCAGTCCCTTTATTATCTCGCAGTGGAATGACCCGCCAACTTATTCAGCATATGTTTTACACAGCAGATGCCCTTCCAGCTGCAACCCATCAATGGGAAAAACCCATACACTATGGTCAGTGTAGTTGATCAATTCCCCTATAGCGCATGTGTTTGGACTGTGGGGGAAACCGGAGCTGACCCAGCCAGGACTCAAACCAGCGACCTTCTTACTGTGAGGTGACAGTGCTTACCACTGAGCCACCCTGCTGCCCTCATTTATTATTATTATTACATATTAAGTGAAAAAAGGCCTGTATTAGATGTGCAGAAAATTGGAGCTGCTGTGTAGCTGTGCTCTGGTGTTTAGATCTCCTCACCCTGGCTACGGCGCAGCGGACGGCCATGGATCTGTCGCTCAGCATGGATCGAGTGTTCTTGTAGATGTCTCTGTGACAGGAGGCGGCGGCTCCACCCAGACCACTGAGAACCTTCTGCAGACTGAGGAGGATCTCCCCGCGACCCTGAGCCTAGGACACATACACACACACACATATACATACATACACACACGATCACAAACTGAAGAGCGGGGGTGGGGGGTGTACATCGGCTGGTAGACACATGCGCGGCAGGACTGCTCAGACGTGTGTGTTGTGTACCTCTGCACTCTTCAGAGCTTTCAGCAGGTTATTGATGGTCTCTGGGAAAGAGCTGCCCAGCATTCGTCCCATGCGCTCATAGAAGGCCCCAACACACGCCACCGCCGCGCTGCGAACACACAACACACACTGAAATTACACACACTTCACACTATATAACAGTAGAGGAGGAAAAGAACAATGAGAACTAAAGACTGGCCCCTGATAATGCTAAAATTACAACAGCAACAAAAATACATCTTTACCTACAACAAAAACAACATTTTAAAGCGTAATAATCAGGATAAAGTACATCCAGCTGGTTGTTACCACCGAATAAATCCTTCAGTCTTAAGAATGCTGCACATTGAACACAAAATTTTCAACCTCTGGTTAGTGTATACTCCATCAGCTGTTTTTGACTGTCTCCATCTAGTGTCTGAATAATGTGCAGGTTAGTGTATACTCCATCAGCTGTTTCTGTCTGTCTCCATCTAGTGTCTGAATAATGTGCAGGTTAGTGTATACTCCATCAGCTGTTTCTGTCTCCATCTAGTGTCTGAATAATGCGCAGGTTAGTGTATACTCCATCAGCTGTTTCTGTCTGTCTCCATCTAGTGTCTGAATAATGTGCAGGTTAGTGTATACTCCATCAGCTGTTTTTGACTGTCTCCATCTAGTGTCTGAATAATGCGCAGGTTAGTGTATACTCCATCAGCTGTTTCTGTCTCCATCTAGTGTCTGAATAATGCGCAGGTTAGTGTATACTCCATCAGCTGTTTCTGTCTCCATCTAGTGTCTGAATAATGCACAGGTTAGTGTATACTCCATCAGCTGTTTCTGTCTCCATCTAGTGTCTGAATAATGCGCAGGTTAGTGTATACTCCATCAGCTGTTTCTGTCTGTCTCCATCTAGTGTCTGAATAATGTGCAGGTTAGTGTATACTCCATCAGCTGTTTCTGTCTCCATCTAGTGTCTGAATAATGCGCAGGTTAGTGTATACTCCATCAGCTGTTTTTGACTGTCTCCATCTAGTGTCTAAATAATGCGCAGGTTAGTGTATACTCCATCAGCTGTTTTTGACTGTCTCCATCTAGTGTCTGAATAATGCGCAGGTTAGTGTATACTCCATCAGTGGTTTCTGACTGTTTGTCTCCATCTAGTGTCTGAATAATGCGCAGGTTAGTGTATACTCCATCAGCTGTTTCTGTCTCCATCTAGTGTCTGAATAATGCGCAGGTTAGTGTATACTCCATCAGCTGTCAGTTTTGCATTCAATTAAAGACTTAATAAACTATAATGGTTCAGAACAATGTTTGGTGTCTAAGTGTTATGTTTTGTGGTCAGTAGCCATGTAATAATCAGGATAAAATAGATACGGTTGTTTTCTCAGAAAAACCCCTTCAGTCTTCAACAGCAGTGCTGTTCTGCACATCGGGCTTCTGATAAACCTGTCAGGATTTATTCTGACATAACAACCTCTTCAATCTATCTTATCCCTTACTTAACAGGCAGAAAATGCATGCATAAATATACTTAATTTTGCATATACATTTGACACCCTGGACCACAACACCACTCACGAAAATACATGGTATGGGTCAGAACAATCATTAGACAATATTTTAAATGTTCCTACTGTAAATAAATAACAACTCGATTTTTGATTAGCAATGAGCTGTGATGATGACGATGATGAATCTTTTATTTAATGCCATGTCAGCAATAAAGGCTAAATCATTTCATTAATAAATATACAATTAAAGACAGCAAAGTACTGAATAGATAAATTAGATGAGTTGTTACTCGTTCCCTCATTATAGTGCACGTCTCCTGGTCTGTGTTTGTTTTGGTGGACTCACAGTTTGCTGGGCAGGTACGCGGCGGTGTCGTCTTTGCTCTTGATGATGTCATTGCACTTGTCGAGCGTCTGGAAGACTGTAAAGGTGTCTCCGATGCTGTAGAGCACGGCCAGGTTCTTGGCCAGCAGCTTTCGTGTGGGCGGCCCTGGAGAACTGCTGATCAGCCCCGTCAGCTGCTCCACCAGCTTCTTCTGCTTCTCCTTCACATCCACCTGCAGAGAACAGCATCGGTGGTGCTTTAAACGCTTTGAAATGCTTAATAGTCACGGCTTATTATGAATAAACATTGAGATGATAATAATAATAATATTTTATTTTGATATAGTGCCTTTACAACTTAACTCTCAAAGCACTTTACACCTAAAAAATACAAGGAAAGCTGAAAAATCTGTTATGCAGAGGATAAAAATTATATATATATATATATATATATATTATATATATATAATAAAACAAGTCAGAAACATGACACACTATACGTGATCAACTATAATTGAATTGGAGATTGCACATGCTGCGATCTGATTATTGCGGATGTGTACACTGTAATATTAATGCCAAAACTATACAACACACACACACACACACACACACACACACACACACTTGGAACAGGTTCTCTTGATTCTGGAGTGTGTTTTCCTCTGCTGTTTTACCTTGTTGGCAGCGATGAGGACTTTATCGAGGAAGCGGAGCCACTCGAAGATGAAGACGGCCCGCTTGGCTTCAGTGATGTGGGACAGAGCCTCTTCATTCAGTAGCAGACTGTGAGCCAGCTCCATCCTGACACACACACACACACACACACACACACACAGCTGTAGTGATGTTTGTATTGTATATTCTCTCCTCTCCCCCTAAACTCAAGCCTCACAGCACACACTCATCTTCACACTCCTTCATTCTGTCTGATTTATGAGCCATTTCCTCATGGAGACCAAACACATCAACACACAATGACTGACGTTGTTCTGAGTCTGTGTGCAATGTACATTCAGGATTAAGTCCCCACATGGACATAAAAACAAGAACACACACCCCATAAACCCACTCCCACCGTAAACAAACACACAGAGAATAAACACAAACAGCAGACAGACAGACAGACAGACAAATAGGCAGGTGGATGGATGGATGGATGGATGGACAGGTAAACAGGCAGACAGGAAAATAGAAAGACAAACAGACAGAGAGGTGGATAGTGGATGGACAGACAGACAGACAGACAGACAGACAGACAGACAGACAGACAGACAGACAGACAGACAGACAGACAGACAGATAGATAGATAGATAGATAGATAGATAGATAGATAGATAGACAGTAACACTCACACTCACACACACACACACTTGCACAGTGTATTGACAGTACAACTCTGACTGTACTGAATGATGAGTGAATGGGTGAAGACTGAACAGCAGGTCTCCGGCTATGAATGACAGTCGTGGCCTAAACTGAGCCGCTGACAGGAACACAAACATCAGTGACCGGAAACACACACACGTTTATCAACAGCGCATTCAGCACACACCGACACGCGCGGGCCTCTCATTAATCTACATTTAGTTCATTATAAATGTCCGTTTTCTTACCTGTTTCAGAGCAGCGAGCTTGTGTGTTTGTACCATAGACTGAATTCGACTCACTTCCGCTATCACAGCCAATCAGCGGAGAGAAGGATGTTGCGCTCGAAGAAGTGCGTGGATAACTCCTGCAGGGGGCGCTCTGTGGCCCACATATCTTTCCTTCAAGTTTGTTTCGGACTGTTTTGTCCGGTTAAAAATATGCTGTGTTCACTAAAATAATTTCAGATATTCATTATTCACATATGAAACTGTGCATTATGAAAGATCTGGTAATGACTGAAACAGAGGCCACGTGATCATTGGGCCGCGTGAGTTCATTTATTTATTTATTTTTTTATTTATTTGTTTATTTATTTATTTATTTATTTATCTATTTATTTATTTATTTATTTATCCCTCATGTCATAACAATAAAATACATTAAATATTCACCATATAGATGACAATTGAACATTTGCTGAAAAAACAGAAGGTCAGTAGTTTAGGCTTCAGCGCTGTGCACATGCTGAAATGCTGTTTTTCTGTGGTTTTTTGCTTGTTCCAAAAGATTAACATGTAATTTAGTCATTTATAAAGTGGAACAAGTTTGGTCTAACCCACTTTTCTTATGTAAGCTATATTGTATTTTTGTAAAACAAACAAATGCAAAATATGTCGTCCTTTACATTCAGATTCTTGTTTTCAGTTTACAATTTTCAGTTTATAAAATGAACACATTTCTAATACACTCCATTTTGTTGTTAATATATAATTCCAAATCATTGAAAAATAATCTTGCCTAAATACAATGACCAAGCAAATCCCAGATATAGGCTCTATGAAACCCTAAATCTTTACATGATCTGCTTTACTTTAGGAGTTTAGTGAATATGGGTCATTTTTGACCCAAAGGGTGAATGCTGTATACAGATATGTAAGACGACACCTATGGAAGGTAAATCCTGCCAATTTTAAATAAATCACCTGAATGATTTATGGTGTCACAGTGAAAGTAAAATAATTTCATTTTACTTTTAATTTTGTCAGATATTTTGCTGTTGTAAATTTCATTTAATGAAATTGTTAATCTTGTTTTATTGTAATTTCCAATGTTTAAATGATTTATTTTTAAATTGGCAGTATTTATCTTCCATAAACACCAGGGTTAATTGTGATAAAACACAGATGATAAGAACAGAGTCGCTCATAGAGTAAAAGAGTTGAGTAAGCGCTGCCAGATATACTGAAAATACACAGTTCTCAACCAAAACTCCAGCTCAACTCTCCTGAAATGCATTAAACCAAAACAAACACTGAAAACTGATGAGGCAGAGACATTTGTCTGACAGAGATCTGCTCTAAATGCAGAATGAGAGAAACTGTTTATGTCATCCTTGACAGATGAGATAGAAGATAAACAGGAGAATTCTGGAGAAAAGACATGCGTTACATTGGAAAAATGACTTCCAAAACAATCCTTCCAGAAATTGGTGTGAAACTACAATGAAAATAAAAAATATTCAAGAGAATTCACAGATAAATTAAACATTAAGCTTAAATCTTTCCAAGGCCTGCTTAAAATCCATTAAGTATTTCTATAAATCAAATAATGTTTAATTATTTGATGTTAATTGGAGCTGAATGTGTGATTCAGGAGGTGGACACAGTCCAATATAGCTCTGGTGAGACTTTAAGCTATTTTCAAGACTAAATGTGCCTAAATAAACACGCAAGCCTTATTTTAGACATAACATGATATAATTTGTGTAAATATTCAAAACAAACAACAATAGGAGGTTTATCTTGCAGATGCAGAATCTACCTGCAGGTCTAGGATCAGTCGTGTGTTACAGAGACTCCTCTTATCTCCGTCTGCAGAGTTCACACATCAGGAGATAAAACACACTTCATGACCCAAACAGCGGCTTTGATCTCTTCCTCTGCTGTTTTCTCAGTGTAAAGACGACATTTGCATTGACGACATGATTTATTACTTATATACTTTACTATAGACAGACAGACAGACAGACAGACAGACAGACAGACAGACCGATCCTTAAACGTTGTCTGAATGTTAAACAAAACGCTTTTGAAATAATGTTTATTCTCACAGCGTTATTACTAGTAAGTTAATAGAATATTCATGTCTTCGTGTTAATAAAATAATGTTTATAGAACGTTGCATTTTGATTTAGGTGGAAAGAATGCAGCAGGAATGTTTTGCTAACCTTACAAAAACGTTCAGCCAACATTAAGCAAACTAAGCACGGTGGCCTCACGGCAAGAACGTCGCTGGTTTGAGTCTCGGCTGGATCAGTGTGTGTTTCTGTGTGGAGTTTGCATGTTCTCCCCGTGTTGGTGTGGGTTTCTTCCGGGTGCTCCGGTTTCCCCCACAGTCCAAACACATGCGCTATAGGGGAACTGATCAACTACACTGGCCGTAGTGTATGAGTGTGTGTGTGAGTGTGTATGGGTGTTTCCCAGTGATGGTTTGCGGCTGGAATTAATTGATTAAATAAATCTAATGAGAATTAAAGAGAAAGGCAACCTCAAGTGAAGAATATGTGTGTCATCAGAGTTTTTAATGGGGTCAATTGAGTTTTTTATGAGATGGTATTGAATGTATTTGTGTTTATTTTGTGGTGAATGTGATGTGAATGCTGCTGCTGATACATTTGCACTTGTGGACAATAAAGGAAGTCGAATAAAGTCGATGAAGGTTTGCAACATGTCAGTGCTGTGTAAATAATGACAGGATGTATGGGTGAACTAACCCTTTAACTCTGCTTTGGAGTAAATTTGCTACTTTGGGTTATTAAAATTTTGCTCTAATAATGTCGTGATAACTGAATGTTCAATATTTATGAAGAATATTTTTGTTTGTGTGGTGCGAGGAGGAAAATATCGCTAAAGTGTTCGGGGCTGCAGTGCTCGTCACTTCCGGCCCGTGTGCTGCTCAGCGGAGTATCGTCACGTCCGCTGGTCTGGAGCTCAGAGAAGATGGCGGCTGTTGTCGTGAGCGCTGACGGAGGAGTGTCTCCGGTGGATTCGGGCTCGGTGTCTCCGCGTCTGCCTTCGCCGTCGCCAGTACCGGAGCAGCAGCAACAGAACAACCCGCTGCTCGGGCTGCCGATCGTCGCCATCGACACCATCCTCAACTTCCTGACCTATGACGAGATCAGCCTGCTGAGACTGGTGAGGAGAAAACAACAATGAGCGGGACTGCACTGACACACACACACACACACACACACACACACACACACACACACACACACACACACACACACACACACACTACAGCATAGCACAACACACATTCTGCACAGAGATACATTATACTTTCTCACACACACACTGGGCTGACACACTACAGTATAGACTGTACTACAACACTCTCACACCACATACACAACACACTCACACTACACTGACACACACTCACACACAGTACAGCACAACACACTCTCTATGCACTTACACACACTATATAACACACTGCACTACCACACACACACACAGTACAACAAAACACAAACTGCACTGTCTCTATTTTCTACTACAACTACCACACACACACACACACTCTACACTCACACACACAGAGACACTAATTTACCAAGACGCTCAACCATACACTCTCACAACACACACACTTAATTACTACATAGACTCACACACTACACACGCACACACTTGGTTTCTCTCACTGCACTGACACACACACTCATAATCTCTCACTACAAACACACACTCATTTACCACACACTTATTTAAAAGCTGTTGTGTGTTATATTAGTGTAACCTTGTTGATTCAATCTATTTAGGCTGTTTTCTACTTAAATGTGTTTTGTTTTGCTGTTTTACGAACTGTTGTGTGTTTACACATCATGTGATATTATTTCAGCTTATACAACAGAACAATGAGGTAACCTGCCGAAGATATCTGACAATTATTAACCAGGATATTCTGGATTTGTTCTTCTCATGTTGTCTTTTGTCAGCAAAAATGTTAAAGATTCACGAGCTGATCTCTGAGGATTAGTGATGCACTAAAGACTGCAGAGACACCGTGTTTGAAACTAGGGCTGGGCAATATTGCAAATAAAAAATGATCACGATATCATGTTTAATATTATTAGATAGCGATAATTATAGGATATTTTAACAGTACAATTAGAAATATAATTTTTTTTATTTACCCCTTTATTTTAATTTACCAACATTACCCAGGCAAATAGTTTTAATAGTCTAAAACAAAAATATTTGAATCTTTTATATTTTTTGATCTGAATATTTGAATGAGTCTCACACTCTCCACTCCTCCATGAGTACCACAGTAGTTGCTCAGGATACGGCCTGGTCCAGGATTATGGGAACCTTGAATCATCTCGTCACTGGTCTTGGATCACATCAGTGGCACTACATAATCTGAGGGCCTCAGGATGAGTATCCCCGGGTGGAAATAGAGAATAAAGAGAATAATTAGCGTAGCTTCTGTTCATAGTGTATATAAACGAGATGCAGAAACCTGTGTGGAGCACATTCATGTATCATACCGCTATGTGATATATTAAATGTATGCTTTATTAAAAAGATAGGTCTTTAATCTATCCATATAAACAGGATTAGATCGGGTCAATTTAAGCAAAGATACTTCTGAAAGTATGTACCAAATGCTAATATTTTCTTACAGTTGTAGTTATATACACTTGGGAAAATAGTAAATATATTTTTTAGCTATATGTACTTAAAAAGCAAAAATATATATATATATATATAAATCAAATTTCTGCAATCTGCATTTGTTAATTATGCGTTTATTTTTAAATAAATGCAGTTGTCTATTTCTCCATTGTTGTCTAATGTGATTGTGTGTGTCTGTCTGTGGTTGTGTGTGTTCTCTGCAGGTGTGTAAGCGCATGGACATGATCTGTCAGCGTATGCTCAATCAAGGCTTCCTGAAGGTGGAGCGTTACCACAGTCTGTGCCAGAAACAGGTCAAAGCGCAGCTGCCCAGGTGAGAACCAGAAAGCCTCAACCAGCAGTACACCTGTTAAAGGGACAGTTCACACACAAAGAAAAATACTCGACTTCTGTTTAGTTTGAAACACTAGCCTAGAGCGCCATCTGCTGTTATAATCTAGCCTAGAGCGCCATCTGCTGTTATAATCTAGCCTAGAGCGCCATCTGCTGTTATAATCTAGCCTAGAGCGCCATCTGCTGTTATAAACTAGCCTAGAGCGCAATCTGCTTTTATAAACTAGCCTAGAGCGCCGTCTACTGTTATAAATTAGCCTAGAGCACCATCTGCTGTTATAAACTAGCCTAAAGTGCCATCTGCTGTTGTAAACTAGCCTAGAGCGCCGTCTGCTGTTAAACACGAGCCTAGAGCGCCGTCTGCCGTTGTAAACTAGCCTAGAGTGCCGTCAGCTGTTATAAACTAGCCTAGAGCATCATCTGCTGTTATAAACTAGCCTAGAGCGCCGTCTGCTGTTATAAACTAGCCTAGAGTGCCATCTGCTGTTATAAACTAGCCTAGAGCACCGTCTGCTATTATAAACTAGCCTAGAGCACCATCTGCTGTTATAAACTAGCCTAGAGCGCCATCTGCTGTTATAAACTAGCCTAGAGCACCGTCTGCTGTTATAAACTAGCCTAGAGCGCCATCTGCTGTTATAAACTAGCCTAGAGCACCGTCTGCTGTTATAAACTAGCCTAGAGCGCCATCTGCTGTTATAAACTAGCCTAGAGCGCCATCTGCTGTTATAAACTAGCCTAGAGCATCATATGCTGTTATTAACTAGCCTAGAGCGCCATCTGCTGTTATAAACTAGCCTAGAGCACCGTCTGCTGTTATAAACTAGCCTAGAGCGCCGTCTGCTGTTATAAACTAGCCTAGAGCTCCATCTGCTGTTATAAACTAGCCTAGAGCGCCATCTGCTGTTATAAACTAGCCAAGAGCGCTATCTGCTGTTATAAACTAGCCTAGAGCGCCATCTGCTGTTATGAACTAGCCTAGAGCGCCGTCTGCTGTTAAACACTTGCCTAGAGCGCATTTTATATTTTCTATATCAAAGCAGAATAGTTTTCTAATAATGGTTTGTCTCTCAGGAGGGAGTCGGAGCGCAGGAATCACTCGCTGGCGCGTCACGCAGATATTTTAGCGGCGGTGGAGACACGTCTGTCGCTGCTCAACATGACCTTCATGAAATACGTGGACTCAAACCTCTGCTGCTTCATTCCTGGAAAGGTCTGTTCACTAACCCTCAACGTTTGTGTTCTGCTCTGTGTAGTTTGATCATGACTAAAGCCTCAGCAGAAGCTGGTCAAACATCTACATTTAAAGGGCACCTATTATGCAGAAATCACTTTTATGTGAGGTTTAACCCCAGTTGAGTATCCCCAGCCTCAACATGAATTTATTCTGTTTGTTATAGTCAGACTTGATGCAGAAGCACTTTGATTGACATTCCGCTCCTTGTACATGTAAACAGAGGGGAAAGCCCCGCCCACTAGTGCCGATCTCTCCCTCATTAGCATAGGATGTTAGTTTTGTTTTTGAATCTGCCTCTATGGGGACACACAGCTGTCTGTAGCTCCACCCTCTTCTGAAAGGAGCTCAACCTCATTTGCATTTAAAGCGACAGTCACCGAAATGCCACAATTAGCATCAAAGCCTCAGAGGGTCAGTTGTGTATGATTCAGGAGGTGGAGATAGTCTTTAAGTTTAGATTTTTGCTCTAGAAAAAAGACAAAACCTCTTTCTTGCAGTGCTCTTATTGATATGAAGTAAATAGCAATTTTGATGCACATAAAATGCTGCAAATGCATGGCATATTTTGAGAAAGGCCTCTGCTGTTCATTTCTGAGCTGCACTAATGATGAAAAGCGAGCTGATTCAGCCGAGACTGAAGGGCATTAGCTGCAGTCAGTGATTAATGAAGCAGAATAACCAGCAGGAGTTAATGAGCTTGCTAATAATCAGGTTTGTGTGTCTGAAGCAGCTTTTCTATCTGACGTGAAGCACAATGAATGCAGAATCGATTTATAACAGCTCACATTGAGATTTATCCCTCATAACACATTCAGCTCTGTTCGACCTGGAAGAGGCGTATAAAAATGTCTAAAACAATTGCACACTTTTTAATAAAGAACCTTAGATTATTCATATCATAATAATGCCTGTGGGGAAAGTGAAATAAACTAGTTAAATAGCACATTATATTTCTGACCGATTGTCAGATTATTTTGCTTGTTTTAAGGAAAAACTCTTCATTTTTCACTTGTTATTGCTGAAAATAAGACTATGTTGTTTACTTGTCTAGGCAATGCTTCATGATTTAAGAGTTTGTAGATATTTAGACAAGAAACAAGACTAACCTTTATGAAAAGCATTTCCTGCAGTGCTCTTATTGATGTGAAAGTATTGAAATATCTAAAAACAACTGCACACATTTTAGTAAAGAACTTAAAAAGACCCTTAAAATGCACTGTTTATTTTTTATTTTTATATATATATTTTTACAGCAATTTTTAATAGACATTACTATTGAAACTTATTTGCTTTTCAGCAAATTTTTGGAGCACCTTTAAAATCTGCTTTTCCCTATGTCAGACACATCTAAATAATTTATGGACGCCCGCTGACACATTACTACAGTTCTCGTCTGAAACTGAACGTTTATGAACGAGGAATGTGTTTATTTTGTTTGCTTAAAGTTTATTTTAAGATATTTGTTTTCTTAGTTTTTAATATATGTAGATTTCATAAAGGATCAAGTTTCATAATCAAAGCAGTTTAATTAAATTCAGTTTGTATCAATGAGTTTAATTCCAGTAATAATCAGATAGTGTGCTAGTCAGTTATATATAAAGACACAATTATATAATGTCTCGTCAATATTTAAAAGTATTCAAGTTTAGTGTTTTTGCATCATAGACTTTGATCATTACTGTGTCTTATTGAAAATGGCAACAGGTTTGTCAGTAGCATCATAAAACAAACTTAATACAAACACATCACAGAAAAGTAAAACTCCCAACATGCCTCACAATACATTTCATACATAATAAATCTCAAAATAAAGAATAAAAAACTTGCAAACTTTGTTAAATTGTAAAGACAAGAACAAAATTGAATTTGTATCTATTAGAGGAACATTTATTGTTTCTTTTAAACAATTATGCATATACAGAGTGTGGGTGTGTTATGAAGGCTAAGAATTATGCATTAGAATTGAGCAGGGTATCTGCGGGGTCTTAAAATTCAACATCTAAACTTTAGGCCCTAAAAGTCTTAAATTGACTGAACTATTGTCTTGTAGGTCTTAAATCTTTTATAACAGGACTTGTGAAGCCATGTGAAGCTACCCAATCAGGCCAACACCCATCCAATCACTATCAGTCCATCTCAATAAGTTTTAAGAAATGTTTATTTATTAACTCTATTTACCAGTATGCTTTATTATCTTCCTTACAATAACATGGATTTTAATGTTTTATCTGGGCCATTTGAAAAATCATCCTTAGCATTAACCTTTGTGTAATTCTGAAATGTCATTCATAAAGGTCTTAATATAGTCCTAAAGCGTCTTGATGAAATCGGCAGAAACCCTGTTGAATCATTTTGTCTCAGATTCTTCAAGGATTCTCATTTGACTCATTTTTAATGGCAAAGAAAAATGAACAAATCCTCAATTTTCACTACACAGACAGTGAAAATGAGGTGGTGAGACAAATCAAGCTAGTGCAGACTGCCGAGAGCACTGTGTAGGGCTCATCTGAGGGAATGTTCTGGCTCCGTGAGCTCATAAGCGCTGCAGTAATTGCAGTGATCTTGCAGGCTGTGCCGTGCTTTAGCAATCTTTCCTGAGGAAATGCAGAAGCTCAGAGGGATTATGCAAAAGGCTATAAAGCCTGACGGCAGAGAATGCAAATCACTGAAGAGATGCTGTGCTTTCTCCAGAAGCCCTGCTGTACGCCGCAGTGTTCTGACCTGCAGGAATATTCATCAGAAGACTGTACCCAGTGTGCACAATGCATGACAAAACTAGAGTATCTGTCCAATAACATCACCTTATTGCGCAATACATGGACATGACCTCACTGATTTGCCAATCATGTTGAGATAGTCATGCATATTGGTAATAACCCTAATTTTTTTTTCAAGACATTTATAACCCTGGGAATTGGCCTTCATTTGATTTATTTGAAGTGGTCATGAATATTAATGAGCTCAGCTCTGATCCTCCGCAACTTGTCACAAAAGTTGTTGTTACCATTGCAACTATGGAATTAGCACAACACATCAATGATTATAGTTGTTGTGTTACCATAGCGACTGTAGAATCATCACAATTACTATAGTTGTGTTGCCATAGCGACTGTAGAATGACCACAATACATCAATTACTATAGTTGTTGTGTTGCCATAGCAACAGTAGAGTCACCACAACACATCAGTTACTTTAGTTGTTGTTTCCATAGCAACTGTAGAATCACCATAACACATCAATTACTATACTGGTCGTGTTACCATAGCAACTGTAGAATCATCACAACAGATCAATTACTGTAGTTGTTGTGACAATAAAAAAACGTACTCCTATAATATTATAGTAGAAAATTGTGGCGGTTTTAAAACCTTGACTTTCTGAACCGCCGTATACCTTAAACATGGTTATAGTGCCATGACTAGTTGACTCTTGAAGATGTTCTGTATACTGTATGTTTGTTAGTGATTCATTTAAACCACTGTAGTGTGTGTTCATGTGTGTGTGTAGTCGTCTGCGAGTGTTTGACAGTGTTGTGGTGTCCTGCAGGTGATCGATGAGATTTACCGTGTTTTGCGGTATGTCAACTCCACGCGTGCTCCTCAGAGAGCCCATGAGGTGCTGCAGGAGCTGCGGGACATCTCCTCCATGGCCATGGAGTATTTCGATGAGAAGATCGTCCCCATCCTGAAGAAGAGGCTTCCGGGCGCTGATCTCTCCGGACGCCTCATTGGATCCGCTCCGGGTACGACTGCTATTAAACTTTAATGTTATTCTGCTACTCAGCTAACATGAAAACAACTATCATATTTCCTGCTTCCTCCAAAGACCCACCTTCAGTGTGTTCTGATTGATCAGTGTTGTGATTGGCAGATCGACTCCACGTCATCAGTATATGCCCCCCTATAGGGGTGTCATCCCATGCCTTGTTGCATCACAGGTACATGCATTACCTATTAAACCTCCCTCTCTCCCTCTCCCAGTGGCCGGTCCGTCCACCTCTCTGACCACCATGTCTCTGCTGGCCAAGAACACGCCGTCGCGCTCGGAGATGACGAAGCTGCAGCAGCAGGTGAAGGTGAACGGCGCCTCCATGACGGCTCTGCGGCGCGAGATGCAGGAGGTGCGTCTGAAGCAGCTGGAGCAGCAGAAGCAGCTGCAGGACCAGGAGCAGAAGCTGCAGGAGCAGTCGCAGGTCATCGGGGAGCAGAACGCGCGGCTGGCCGAGCTGGAGCACAAACTGCGGGATCTGATGGACAGAGCGGTGGGCGCCGGAGATCCAGACGCCGCTGCAGCCTCCAGCCAGAGTTTGTGTGTGAAGCGCCGCAGCTGCTCCGAGCTCCCGCGACACTCCAAACGCCTGCGCAGCAAGAAGTAGACCCGGATGGATGCCGAGGTGTTTTTATTTCTGAACGTTACGTTCACTGCGCACAAACAAATGCTTTTCTTAGTTGAGAGAATCCGTCTTGTTTCTTGTCTGAATATCTGATGTTCTTAAATCAAGAAGCATTTTCTAGCCAGTAATATAGTGTTGCAGGGTCAAAATAAGCAGGTTTACACGCAGAATAACCGGCCACTGAGGGGAGCAGAGTCATGTTTTCATGAAAAACTCTCTTTATTTTGACCTATTATGTCTGAAAACAACACCATATCTTGTGCTTGTCTATAAAGTGCTTCTTGATTTATGTATTTTCTAACATTTGCACTAGAAGCAAGACAAAAACTGAGTAAGAAAAGCATTTCTGCAGTGTTTTGCTTCCTTAAAGAGGGTTAGTTCATGCAGAAATGATCGTTCTGCTATTATTTACTCACCCTTTACTTTTTAAAAGTCTTTATTAGCTTCTTTCTTCGATATGTCTTACTTTGTGATCAACAGACGAAAGAAACTACAAGGTTTGGACACACTTGAGGGAGAGTACATTAGCATTCTTTGGAGAAATATCTCTTTAACGAGGGTTTGTTCATGCAAAAATTGATGCTGATTTCATTTACTCACTCTTGTTTTGAGTTTATTTGTTCTGTTGGACACAAAAGAAGATATTTTGAATAATGATGGAAAAGCGGTCACCATTGTCTTCCATAGTGTTAGTTTCTTCTACTCTGGAAATGAATGGTTACAGGTTTCATAGTATTTATTTTTTTCTACTATGGATTTCAGTGGAATATAGATATTTATCTATCAAATACAAATAGAATATTTATATTCAAAATAGATATTTTGAAATGTTGGAAATCCTAAATGCATTGACTTCCATAGCATAAAAAACTTACTTTGGAAGTCAGTGGTTACCGGTTTTCAACATACTTCAAAATGTCTTTTGCATTCAAGAGACCAAACTGATCGTTTTTAAGCGAGATGCTAACGGTCTAATCTGATTCAATGATCTATGCTAAGCTAAGCTAAAAGTGCTTCAGTCAGACTCAGAGATCGACTGAATAGATTTAGAAATGGTAAATTATTAAATCAGAATATTTCTCATTTAACATGAAGGTTTGTAAGGACACAAGGGTGAATAATTAATGGCAGGATTCTCATTTTGAATTGAACGATCGCTGTAAATCTATATCATTCGTTTTCACGTTAAGATGACGCGAGTGTCACGCGGAGATGCGAAACTGAGAGCGAGAGAAAGGAATCTGCTCATATCCCACACACTAAACACACACTGCAGAAAAACTGGCTTTTATTAACTGAGTTTGTGTCTCGTTTCTCGTCCAAATATCTGAAAACTCAAGAAGCATTTTCCAGAAAAGCACAAGATATAGTGTTGTTTTCAAAAATAATGAGTCAAAGTGTAGAGAGTTTCTCCTTAAAACAAGCAGAATAAACTAGTTTTTAAAATATTATAACTTTTTTTTTCATTAAACATTATGTTTTTTCCTTAAAACAAGCAAAATAATCAAGATTTCACTTTAAAATAACATTATTTCTCTTACCACATTGGCAAAAAACTCACCTAATTTTCACTTATTTCTAAAAACAAAGATATTTTTGGCTCATCTATGAAGTGCTTCTATATTTAAGAAATAATTAAATTATCTACCAATGCTGTAATGAAAAATAACCATATTTTCACTTTAAAATGGCATCATTTTTCTTACCCCACTGACAAAAAATATATTATTTCAATGTATAATTTTTAAAAACAGAATTATTTTTGACTTCTCTATAAAATACTTCTAGATGTAAGACTTTAAGACAGATTTTTATGAATGAAGTGAGTTTTTTCTCCAAATAAATAACAATCTTTCTTACCACATTGCCAGATTATTAAACCTGTTTTAAAGTAAAATCTCTCTTAATTATCACGTTATTTCCAAAAACAATTATTTTATTAAGTTGTCTAGAAAAACTTTCTTGATTTAAGAATTAAATTAGTTTTTCCTTAAAATAGGGACAACATTTTCTCTTTAGTTTGTTTCTTGAACATTATTTCTTACCACATTTTTCACATTTTAAGCTTCAAAAAACTCACTTCATTGTCAAATAATATTTCCAAAAACAAAACAACATTTTGTTCATTCTGTAAAGTGCTTCTAGATTTAAGAATTTTTACAGAATTAAGTGAGTTTTACATTAAAACAAGCTAAATAATCTGAAAAACGGGTAATTGTGTATCACATTTGGCAGATTATTCAACTTGTTTTGATTATTAAACTTGTTTACTGAAAAACTCCCCTAATTATCACATATTATTTCTAAAAAAAAAAGAAAAAAAAAAAGACAATATTTTGTAAAATATTTCTAGATTTAGGAACTTTTACAGAATTAAATTAGTTTTACTTTGAAACAAGCAAAATAATCTAGTTTTTCATTAAAATGACATTAATTCTTACCTCATTTTGCAGATTTTTAAGCTTGTTTTAAAGAAAACCCGCTTCATTATCACAGTTTATTTCCAAAAAAACAAAACAAATTTTTGTACTTGTTTCATGTATAAATGAAAATGCTTTTAGATTTAAGAATTAGTCGAGTATTTCCTTAAAATAAGCAAAGTAATCCAGATTTCTCTTTAAAATACTTATTTCTTACCACATTTGCAGATTATTAAACTTGTTTTACAAAAAAAACTCAATTATCACATATTATTTCTAAAACAAAGACAATATTTTGTTAAATGCTTCTAGATTTAAGAATTTGTATAGAATTAAGTGAGTTTTACCTTCAAACAAGTTCAATAATTTTTTTATTGCTTTAAAAAAACAATTTTCTTACCACATTTGCCAGATTTTTCAAGTTTGTTTTACTGACAAACCTCTGTAATTATTACACAATATTTCCAAAAACAACAAAATTTTTGTTGATGTCTAAAAAGTGCTTTTAGATTTAAGAATTTCTACAGAATTAAGTGAGTTTTACATGAAAATGAGCAAAATAATCTGAAAAAAGGGTGATTTTGTACTACATTAGGCAGAATATTAAACATGTTTTACTGAAAAACTCCACTATCAAGCATTATTTCTGAAAACAGACACATATTTGTCTAAAAAATGCTTCTTGATTTAAGAACTTTTAGATATTTGCTCTAGAAACAAGACAAACTCTCATTAATAGCAGCACTGTTTTGCAGTGCACGACTTCTTCTGTTTCTGAAGGTTTGAGCAGCGTTTGTCTTTAATGTTTAGCCGACCTTCATCCCAACCAGCTCTCGATTGACCCAACGGAAACTCAATCGACCGCGAGGACGGAGCGGCGTAAACCCGAAGGCGAAGTTTTACCCGTAATTATCAGTTTCCAAACAAAAGACTGGGATCCGCTTCTGGAGCCGTTCCATGCCCGACTACTAACTGATGTTGTTCTATATAAATGGTGAATATCAAATATCCGTATGTTAAGAGTCAAATCCTTCATCTGAGACGTGCCTGGACGGGGTTGCAGACGTGTAGCATTCATTCATTCATTCATACGTTTCTTCTTCTTCATTATTCTATGGTTTGTCCATCGCTGAGGATCGTGTCTTGTAGATGTCGGTTCCATGTTGTACCTGCCGCTGTATGAAGGTGTATAATTTACTGCAAATAGATCTGTGTCAGTGCAATAAACATGTGGAAAGCCTTGTTACTAACATAGTCAGTGTTTGGGGTTTTTCAGTGCATGGGCTGCTAAAAATGCTTCGTTTTGTTTCGCTTTTGAGACAAATATCTACACATCTCCTAAATTAAGATGCATACTATTGACAAGTGCACAGTATAGTGTTGTTTTCAGAAATATTGAGTCAAAATGAAGAGAGATTTTCATTAAAACAAACTAAATAATCTGACAATGGGGGATGAGAAATAATCAAGTTAATTTTAATTGTGACGTAATATTACCTTGCTCAGCTCATTGGCAGGTTGTTTAGCTTGTTTTAATGTAAATCTCACTTAATTTTGGTTATTTCTGAAAACAACACTGTTTAAACTTAGAAAAAAAGCTTCCTGATTTAAGAATGTTTTGATATATTTATATTTACGCTTGATTTATTCTTGGTAAAGTTGTTCATTTGAGGTTTATTATTTCCCTAATTTTAAGTCATTCCAAACATCAGATCATTAGTGTAAAGAAATTTAGATACTGCATATCCCATTAGGCAAGTCATTGAACAACAGTTATAATATTGACCACAGCAGTGTTTACATCTCTCTCCTCGAGCCAAACTAAAAGAATAAGCCAAGGAGAAAAACACCGCATTAAATACTGTGAAAAGTGAAAGTAAAATGACTCGCTCTGTTCAGTGTTGATGGAAAAGAATGTCAAATACTCATAAACTATTATAATGCTTTAATAATTTGTCTGGACTGTAAAGAGCTTCAGCATATTTGAGCTTCGTTTGTATGTGAGTGTTTTAGTCGGGCTCGTCAGTGTTTCTGCCAGGACAGTGTTATTATTACAGGTGTGATTTCTCAGAAAACCCCTACGGGCTCAGTAATGAGGAAACTGAAGCTCAGCCTGATTGTTTGAGTTTCCTCCATAACACTGAAAACAGGAAAACTGACAAGCAGAAACCAGAGAAAAGAAGAGAAACGGCAGAAACCAGAGCCGCGTTCACACACTAAACCATTTTCACAACACCACAATAACAGCAGAGCCGAGATCAACAATCAGAAAAAAGATCAGATATAAAGTCAGACACAGAACAGCAGAAACCAGAGCCGCTTTACACACAACCACTTTTACAAACACCGCAATAAAAGACTGAACACACAATGAGAATGGAGATCATATCATAAAGGTGCAAATGATCCAACCTTTTCACAGCAAACCATTTTAAAAACATTAATAAAGGTCAAATGCATGAATGAGAAATAATATCATAAAGTGAGAAATGAGAGCGCCGTAATGAAATAAGGGCTTACAGTCGTGAGATACAAAGATGCATTGAGGAGGAGGAAAAAAATAAATAAAGCCTTTGTCATTCTGGACACTTTAAGCACTGATTTCTGGACATATGCTATGATATACAAGTATATTTGGATTTAATATATATAAAACATGTGCAACGTTTATTTACAAATATTGCAAAAATGAAATTAATTAGTTCAGTGTAATTAATCATATGCACAGTTAGAAATAAGAAAACATCATAATTCATTCATTTTCTTTTCAGCTTAGTCTCTTTAATAACCAGGGCTCTCCACAGTGGAATGAACCGCCAGCTTATCCAGCACATGTGTGTTTCACAGCTGATCCAGCACTGAGAAACGCATCGAAATTATAAATGATAAATTCTAAAGCTTTTACACACAAAAGCATTTGAAAAGCACAGTAATAATGCACAATAAGAAATAAGATCACAGAAAATCAACATGTCTACTTTTATATATAAAATGCTTAATTTAATTAGTTTGATATCACCGGAAATATCATTTAATTAAACTGATTAGAAAACATTTATCGGAATTATAAAAATTGAATGTAATTAAATTGATCAAAATCTAATTAACGGAATTTTAATATATAATTTAATTAAATTGATTAGAATACATTTACCTGAATTACAATAAGTGTTTAATTAAATTGATGATAATCTAATTATTGGAATTATAATAATTTATTTAATTAAATTGATAGTAATATAATTAAAAGATAAATAATATATAAGCTAATTCAGTTAAACTGATTAGAATCCATTTACTGGAATTATAACATATTTTTATTTAAATTAATTGATCATAATCTAATTACTGGACTTAAAATAATTGTATTTAATTTAATTGATAAAAATCTAATAGCTATAATTATAATGTATAGCCTAATTTTATTAAACTTATTAGAATACCTTTACTAAAATGACAATATATATTATAATTTAATTAAACTGGTATTAATCTAAATACTGGATTTAAAACAATTGTATTTAATTAAATCGATACTAATATAATTACCAGATATAGAATATATTGGCTAATTTAATTAAACTGATTAGAAACATTTACTGGAATTCAGCTTAGTCCCTTTATTAATCAGGGGTCGCCACAGCAGAATGAACCACCAACTATTCCAGCATATTGTCTACACAGCGGATGCCCTTCCAGCTGCACCCATACACACTCATACACAAAGCCCAGTGTAGTTGATCAGTTCCCCTATAGCGCATGTGTTTGGACTGTGGGGGAAACCGGAGCACCCGGAGGACACCAACACAGGGAGAACATGCAAACTCCACACAGAAACACCAACTGACCCAGCTGGGACTCGAACCAGCGACCTTCTTGCTTTGCCACAGTGCTAACCACTGAGCCAC